GGGTCCCAAGGAGGTGGCTTGAAATAAGCGAGAAGACAGTGAGCTCTCTGTCCCCAGAGGTCTTCAAGGGAGAAGGGCAGTACTGGTGGAGGGCAGCCCAACAAACCCAGAAGGAGCTGTGCCCTCAGGCCTCAGAGAAGCCGTTCTGGAGACAGCCTTGCTCAGACCCCACATGCAGCCTGGTGGGTCAGGCCCTCTGAGGCAGCGAAATGAGTGGCACAGGGTAGAAAGCAGGAGGAGGGGCGCCTGAATCAAGAGAGGCCACAGAGGCCCACCTCCCTGGGGCTGAGTCTGGACACGCAGTCCTCTTTGTTTTAGTCACAGAAGTGACTGCCTGTGGAAAATTACCGAAAACAAGATCAGAGCCATGGGGGTCTCCAAACCATATCTCTCTTGAAAGTATCCCTGCTCAGGCTTCCATCCAAGGCTTTGCCCTCTCCAGACAAACTTTTTCATTTTTGAGATAGGGTCTCACTAAATCACTAAGTTGCCCAGGCTGAGAGTGAAGTCCTGCCTGAGCCTCCCGGAGTGCTGAGCTTATGGCATTACAGGCATATACTGCCACACCAGGCTCCAGACTTCTGTTTAGGAGCACAGCACAGCTGGCTTTTCCATCCTCCTCTACTCCACCCACCCTTTCTTTCCATTACCCTGGGGAGATACTTAGGGACTTCCCTGAAAATTCAAACAGCCCTTCTCAAGAAGAAGAGTGGGGGTGGAGGTGCTGGTTGGAGCCTCAATACCACTTTTGTTCAGAATCTGACAGCCAATCTGATACCTCACCTGCTTGCTTTGTGACCTGGAATCACTTCAAATTTCTGAGTCTCAGCTGCTGCATCTATCACTGCAGAAGCAGGCGGGCTGTTGTAGGGTCATCATCACAATAGAGCTGCCTTACTGTTCTGGAAATGAGTTTACTACATGTGTAACAAGCACAGCACTCGGGAAGCCGAGGCAGGACGACTGCCAAGAGTTTAAGACCAACCTGCACTACAAAGCAAAACACTGTCCCAAGAGAACCGGAGGAGGAGAAGGAAGAGGATGAGGAAGAGGAGGAGGAGGAGGAGCAGCAGCAGCAGGATAGCTCAGTAAATATGCACTCCATGACTCAGAACTAAGCTAGAAGTGAAGATAGTCTGGCAAGGTCCTCAGACCTCCAAACAAGAATCTCAGGCTGTTGTTGGCTGGGGAGCTCTGAGCGTAGGCAAGGAAGGTCGTCAGTGCCGCTGAGAGTACAAGTCCTTCTTCTGTCTTGGTGTGCCTGGTCTACGATAGTTGGCACTGTCACCAATCACTGAGCTTTCTTCTAGAGTGTCAAATATTGTTCTTGTATTAATCAGTGCATTCCTGCCGAAGGCCTTAAGAGGACGTAACTGTTTCCATCCCATTGGACAGATGAGTAAACTGAGGCAGGAGGCAGTGAAGAGGCCTGCCTAGGTTTTCTCAGTGCTGTTGCCCCTGATTGCTCCGGAGCTGAAGACTGTAGGGGAGCAACATTGGCTGCGCACGCGGGCGGGGCAGGTCGCGGCGGGAGACCCGGGGGAGTTGGGGCTCAGAGCCAGGCAGGCCCCGCCCTCGTAGATCGCCGCTGCCAATGGGCGCCTGGCACCGAGTGGGGTGACGCGGCGTCAGCGTGTAGCTTTGGTGCCCGGCCTTGGGTCACATGCGCGGCCACCGTTCGACCCGACGTTGGGGAGGCACTGCTGCGGGGCCAGGTGGGTCTGTTCTCGGTCTGCACCTGGCTAGGACTGCAGCCAAGTGCTTGTCCTGAGCCGGTAGGGCTAGGGCCTCTCAGCTGTTGCTACTGTTCGCCCAGCCCGGAGCCGGCAACACCCTAACCGGCCTCTACTCAGTCTACTGAAGGGGAGGTCAGGTTTACATCTGCCCCTCGCCCCCTAAGGCCTCAGAGACTAGGAGGCTACTTTCCTTCTGAGTTATTTGGGGAAGGCACCCAGCGTCTGCAGAGGGTGGAAGGGCAGGCACGGCTTTGTCTTTTACTGCTGCAGGAGCCGAGCTTGGGACTTGCTGGTGTCACGGTGAAGTTGCCAGGCAGTGGAGACTAGGAGCCTGGTGCCACCGGAGACCCTGCCTTCTCCAGTGGAAACAGGACGCTGTTGACCTGGGTGATTGTGGTCCTAGATGACCCTGTAGTCTGCTTCCAGCTGGCTTCTTGTGTGTGCATGCTCTACTGTGTCTTTCTAGGCGTTTTTGAGTATCTATAGCCTATTGTCTCTAAGGAGGCTCACAGCATTGTGGCACCCTTCTGGCTCGGCCTGAGTTCATCATCTGAGTGATCCTCCACGAAAGGGCGGGCTGAACTCCAAAGCCTGCTGCCCAGTGCTGCTGGCTGAGACTCAGACTGAGAGAATAGGGGAAGGGACAGCTTTCCCCTGGGTAAGTGACTGTTTGGGTTAAGGCCGAGAGCAGATGGAAGGAAAGTCATAGAGCAGGCAGGTCCACTTGGCAGCGGTCACAGAAAGCACTCCAGACAGCATCTGACTCCCCCAGCCAAATCTAGTTATGAATAGGTCATGATTTTGAACTGTCAAAAGAAATTGTGAAAGTTGGATTGCTGTTTTGTTTGTTTTTAAATGGGACTGAGACTAACCTAGACTTAACAAGTGGTTGCACATTAATCAGGGCTCTGAGCACCTCCCTCAGTCCCCCAACTCCCTGAGTCACACTCAGCCCACTTTACTTTTTTTTATACCAGGGATCAAACTCAAAACCTTGTGCTTGCCTAGCAGGTGCTTACACCACTGAGCCAAATCCCTGGCCTCTGATTTCACTTATATAAACCAATAAATTCCTTTGATGCTACTTAACTTTACTACATTTCCTGAACTTCATATTCCACAGAACCCCTACTTTAGGAATAGTTATTGATGTGTTGGGGGAATGATTTTGCTAAGTGCCTGTCAGGGAAATGAGATCCCTCCTAGGGGGCTGGTCAGCTGAACCAGAGTTGCATCCCCTGCCCATACCTGCAGCTCTGGGGCACTGCAGCTGCTGCTCTGGGCCTTGGCTACTCCCTGCAGGCCATCTAAGAAGGCTCCAACACTTCGTAGCTGCAGAGTGTCCTTGATTCTAGGAACCCAACCAGGCTCTGAGCTTTCCAAGGGCAGGGCCTGAGCAGGCCTTCCCCTCCCTGTGGCACTGACCTGGCACAGAGCAGCCAGGAGGAACATCAGCTGAAAGCATACGTGGATTGCTATCCTGGGGAGTCCAGGGTGGACCCCAGGATGACCTGTTCTCCACAGGGCAGGGTCATGGCTCCAGTCTCTTTCAGCACCACTGTGCTAGGCACAGGGCTAGTGGCACAGACTGGACTCAGGTTCTGTGGTCTCTTTTCAGAAGGGCCTGAATTATGGCCTCTTATTTCAGAGGCCTGCTCCCCACAACCCCCATTATGGACACTCACTAGGTGACCCCAGCCAACCAGAGACAGGCAAGACCTCCACAAAACTTCCTGGAGCCCAGGTGGCAACTGACCCCAGGAAGCAGAATGCTGTTACTTGTAGGGGCCCTAGCATGGTCCCTTACGGGCCCACCCTGTCCTGAGACATCTTTACCTGCCAACCATGGAGGTGGTGACCTTTCTGCCTCTCCTTTAAGGCAGGTCTGGGAGGTGAGTCTGGATTTGAGTGCTAGTTCCACTAATCACTGTATACAGCCAACAGGTTCACTTTTCAGACTTCACCAGCAGTGAGAGACTGGGCAGAGGTCTCCGTGTCCATTCCAGTTCCACTGAATTTGATAGGTCCACCCTACTCCCAACATCTGTTTTGGTGTTTATCTAGGTGTTCTCCCAAAGCCTCATGTGCTCATAGGTGGGGCTTTTCAGAGGTGAAAACTGCCACTGTAAGAGTGTGTAGCCTAGAGAGGGTATAAGGGACAGAAAGAATCTGTCACTTGTCACTTCCTGCCTGACATGAACTGTTTCTCCTCTGTGATGCGCCTGCTGTTCACCCTGCCTTGGAGGAGCCAGCTGAACTGAAACTGCTAGACTATGAGCTAATTAAGCCTCTCCTCCTTTAGCTTCGGATGTCGGGTATTGTCTCAGCCATAAGAAAAGTAACTAAAACGAGATCCATCTCAGATCCCTAAGGATGAAGGCATTAAAGGTCTCCCAGCTCTGGCCACCTAAGGCACAAGCACCCCAGCCTTTTACCATCCATCCCTCAGGATTCCTTTGTATCCAGAGCAGCTGAAAGGCTGCCTCCCAGCATAGAGCCACGCGCAAGGCAGCTGTCTTAACAGTTCAGTACCAGCAGAGCCCTTCACCTTTTTGAACTGGGAGTTGAACCCAGAAGGCACTTGTGCTGCTGAGCTACATCCCTAGCCTGAGGAGCCCTTTTTTATATGGAGAGTAGGCTGTAGCCCGGGCAGAGACTGGGTTCCCTTTTATGAGATGAAAATGTTCAGGAATTCATAGTGGAGGTGGTTGCACAACCCTGAGGCTATATCCAAAACTACTCACCTGTACATTTCATTTTCTGTAGTGCTGGGGAATGAATCCAGGGCCTCACACATCCCAGGCAAGCAGTGAGCCACACCTCCAGGCAACTGTATACAAACTGGGTAAATATGTGATATGAATTGTATCTCAATAAATGTTACCAAGAAGGTGTGGGTGACATCTACCTGGCTTGCAGCAGTGGCTCTCAAATCCAGTATCTGGCACAGACTGGAAAATTCTGATACCAAGTGGTACAGCCTGGCTTAGGAGAGGCTGGAGGGATGCTCAGGCCTGCTTACTCTGGATGACCCAAGAGGACAGACAGCCCCCGGTCATAGCTTCTCAGGCAGGTGGGCAAACCAATGGGCTGCTTCCACTGATGCCCAGCTGGGCTGAGCCCAGGGGTCTTCTTTGCTTGGCAGTGCGGCAGCAGGGGGAGGGTAGAAAGTGGGTCCCCCAGATACTCCCTCCTGCAGGGTCTTCATGGCAGCCCTGCTTAAAGAAAGTCACAGCCAACTCAAAAGAGATCACACAAGAGTGGTTTGTTCAATTATTCATTTATTATGGAATACGTTACATGCAAGAACCCAAACTAGAGAGCCAGCATTTGGGAGAGCCAGTGGGGTGAGGAGACGCTCCAGGGTCACTCTGAGCCAAATAAACACTGACCCACCCTCCAGAACCAGCTCTGCCCACAAAAAACACATGACAGTGACAATAACACTGGACTTGTGGGACAAGGGAATAACGAACTCAACACATTCCTCTTCAGTAGCTCCCAATGATCCTGAGAACCCTCACAAATTAAGTGCAACCTTTAGAAAATAAAATATCCATAGCTTACTCTCCAGGAGTGCCTGGAGGTTGGCTTGGGACACTATGACAGCAGCAGTCATAATTCGTGGTTGACAGCTGCCCCCACGGCTAGTGGCTACAGGGGAAGCCTGGTCTGGGCCTCCATGGCCAGGAAGGGCTGGAGATGAGCACTGGGAAATGTAGATCCTGTGGGCCTGACACGAAGCATCTCTGGGGTGGAAACAGATTCCTCTGTGGGTGGGGGAGACACGCTGTACCGTGTGGTTGAACGTGACAGAAAAGCCAAGATGTCCCAACAGAAGATCACAGAGAGGGACACAGGCCAACCGGGTAGTGGCCAGGCTAGTAGTAGTCCATATGCTCTTCCCAAGTGAGGGCTGGCCTGGTCCACAGTGTAGCCTACACCGTCCAGGAGGCTAGGCTGGGAAGGGATAGGATGGGAAAGAGAGGAGGAGGAGCTGGAGCCTTGCTGCCATTGGCCCTTCCTAGACACCATTCCTCAGCGTGACAGCACAGGCCTGAGACCACTGGGTGGGGAGAAGGGCAGGGAGCCAAGGCACAGTCATTCACAATGAGAGGCTAACACAAACACAGGAGGACAGATGGACAGTCACCTTTCCCTCTAGCCCAAGCCAGCTGCACGCCCTTTTGGCTCCAAAACCCCTTGACCCATGCACACCTAGAAGGAGGCTGGTCACTCCCAGCCCAGCGTCAGGCCGTTGCTGGGTGTCACAGCGGAATGTACATGGTGTAGTTAGCTGTTGCTGGCTAGCCAAGAAAGTGGGCGAGAAGAATTGGTGAGCCTTCACTTCTCAGCACATACAAACAGAAAAAGTTAAACATTCCCAAGAAAATATTTTGATAAAATAAATATTTTAACTTATAATCTGGTATAATTAGTGCTTATGAAGAGTCCCAGCAATAATTTAGTGTTATTAAGTATATACTGTATCTGTGATTTCTAACACTTATGGAGGCTGGTGGTTTGTGACATCCAGCTTCCCCACCGGAGCTCTGCTCCTTCCCTAGGCAAGTGGCCTGAGGATTGTGGCCCAGATCGCAGGCAGGCAGGCAGGCAGGAACTGAAGCCCAGGATAACATCTCCACACTAGTTTCTGGCTCACGCCTCACACCTGTGTCACCTCGGCCCATAGGAGTCCTCCACTACCTGCTGCCCACAGTGCAGCCAAGTCATTCCAAGTTGGGCCTACCAAACGCTGGGGCTGGGGCACTCGCCGTGGGTTTTAAGAACAGCTTTGCTGGAGACTCTCGGGAGCGTACCTATCTCGGCCTTGCTCACTGCAGGTGCCCCTCTTGCTCTGTGCCATCCACAAGGCAGGGAGGTTGCCTTTTTCCTCAGTGGATGCTAGACCTGGCTGCCATCACCTATGGGCCCAACGCCGGCGGACAGCAGAGGGCTGGGATCCCGGGGCACACCTGGGCCATCCTCGTCACTTCTCTGCAGCTAGCTGCCTCAGGGTTCCTGCCCTCCCTACTTGGTAAGAAGGGCACAAGCTGCCCAAGGGATAGGGAGTGGAGAAGGCAGGGCAGGGCAGGAAGCAGGCAGCAAACTGAGTGGTGCTTCCCCGGTGTTCTGTGGAAAGAGTGTGTCAAACCTGCTGTCTTGCAGATGGCCCCAACCAGACCACAGTCCTTTCTGGAGAGTACTAGGTGGGGCGTGGAGTCCTGGGGTAGCTCACCACAGATCGCACTGTAGTCCTGGTCCTAAGTACTTCCCAGGTCGTCACTAGTCATTTCCCTGCAGCACTGGTGCTCTGATGATGACAGTCACAGTGCTAGGCTGTTCCACACCATGGGTGGGAAAACTGTGGTGACCTGGGCAACGTGTACTGGAAAGGTAGAGGCTCAACAGCGTGGTGCAGGAGCTCGTTCCTGACCTGAGTGATGGCAGCTTGGGGCAAGAAGGGTTAGCTAGACCAGGGCTGGGGTAGTGCAGTGAGTCCCTTGCCCAGGGCTAGGAGACACACCAATGAAGACACAGGACAAAAGCAGGTGTCACCAACCCACATCTGCTAGCCTTGGGCTTGGGCCTTCAGAGTCTGCAAACTGGTGGCTGGGGTCATGTGAGCTGTTAGGTCACGCTGCCCATGGAAGGTCTGAGGCTCTGGCCAGGGAGAGGTGCAGGGGCCTCGGTGTGTCACTCTGGCCACTTAGTCCTTTGGAGCCTCCTGGTGTGGTGCAGGGCTGTCTGTTGCTGGGCCTGGAAGTGGTGAGTGGAGGTCACTGAAGGCAGGGCCAGCTCACATCTCTTTCTCAAACCAGCAGAGCAGCCCTCTGCACAGCCCCCCGTCCCAGCAGGGTCATGGGTAGCTGGCCATAGTGCGCAGGCTGCAGCTGAGTTTATGGAGCTTCACTGCACTCTCCCCACGCCAGGAGCTGCGGGTCCTCTGTGGCCCCTCAGTTGGGCCTGGCTGCTGAGCCACCTAGGGTGGGAGGTCGCAGTGAGCAGCTGACTAATGGATAGAGGATCCAGAACACAAGAGAACCCTATATGGGCACCCCACAGAGCCCTCTAAAGTGCCAACACAACAGGTACCATGAGGTGACAAGGTCCGAGGAACAGACTGATCCCTGCTCCTCCAGAGGCAGAGACACAAAACCATTCCTGGCAGAGAGATACAGAGGGCAGCAGGCCTAAGGGGATCCACTGAGCCAGGCTGAGGTGGCACATATTGTGGGCACAGGTAGCAAGCCAAGGCCTGACCTTCTTTTCTGTGGGTGGAGTGATGGACAAGACAGTTCAGGTGGTCTGCTCAGGAGCAGTGTTGAGGGGCTGGGCGACTGCCCTTCCTGGAGGACCGAGTCAGGAGCCTGGGGGAAGGGAAGGACAGGGCCTCTGGCTGCAATGTGGCTGTCTCACCACCCGGAGAAGGAAGGTGGCAAAAGCTGGTCCTGACTAGGGGAACAGACACAGGTGTTTCCATGGAGATACAGGTGCACAGGCCAAGGGTGAGGGGCAGGGAGAGTGGCCAGTGCCCAGTGTCCATGGGGAGCAAGCAGTGACCTGCTATCTATGGAGAAGACCACAAAGCAGCTCACAGGGCAAAGAGGGCGTCCTCTGACCGCTCGGGCTTCTTCCGGCCAGGAGGGTTGGAAGCCGGGGCGGGAACCTCCACAGGGGGAGACGGGAGGTCAGGAACCATTTCAGCAGCCTTGGCTCTTTCTTCCAGGAACTTATCAAACTCTGCAACACAAACCAAGGCAGGGCCCAGGGTTGATGAGGATACAGTCCAGTTGTTCCACAGGGGTTATTTTAGTACAAGCCCATGGACCTCCCGGCTCTGGCCTGCATCCCACTGTGAGGCTGATGGGGTTTGGGAAGCTGGGGGTGGTAGGATGAGCATCCTGCTAAAGCATAGTGCTTCTAGGGACCTGTCTCAGGAAGGGCCGCCCACCTCAGTTTCCTCCCCTGCCATTCACAGGGCAAGTGGGAACCCCAGTTTCATGGAGGTGTACTGCAGAGGGGTACATGTGGTGGCTTCCCAGTGACAGGGAAGAAGGTCCAGAAGGGCACTGCGGGGAGATGCTCTGCAAACGAGCATAAAGCACACCTGCTCTGAGGCCCAAAGTTCTGTCCACTTCCAGATAAGCGTGAGGGCAGGCCAGAGAGAGCCTGGTACCCCTACAGAGATGTGGCAGGAGATATCCCACCACTCCCACAAGAAGACACTGCCAGGTCCCCGGACAGTTCTCTGCCTGGGCCTTCTGACTATAGGGTCTGGCAAGTTTTGAGGGGCAGAGAAAGTACCAGGAGAGATAGGGAGACAGAAGGGAGGGGCAGGGAGTACAGCAAAGTGGACAGGGCCCCGTTGGGGAACCCGGCCCACTGTTCCCACCTGGCCCATCAGCTGAGGCCCAGGCTGGCCGCACTTCCTCCAGCTCAGCCCCCCAAGGTCCCTGTAGATCCCTGTGGATTGAGTGCCATGTCCAAACTAAACTGAGCACCCAGAGGGTGGGTCCCTCTAAGTCACATGTTCCTCCTGACCTCCATTTCACTTTAAACAAAATGGGAGATGTGACACTGCCCACACTAGCACAAGGCTGGACTGAGCCCCCATGAAGCCACGGTTCACGTTCTGGCGCCTGACGGGCCTCCAATAGCAAAGGCCCCGGGGTAACAAGGGCCACACCCTGTGGGCCCCAGAGCCTGGGATGGGAACCACAAAGGGGGCTCCGAGTCTGTACCTTCACTTGTGACGCCCTCTTCCAGGTCATCGCCCTTCTGTGGGAGGAGCAGAAAGGGCAGTGTTAAGGATCATAGGGTCTCACTCATTCAGTCACCTCTGCCTCCCTGTGGTCATCCCAGGGTGGCACTGCCAATGACAGTCCAGATCAACTTCCTGCTTTTCCCTGTTTTCAAATTTTTTTTTTTTTTTGTCTTATCTCACTATGTAATTCAGGCTGGCCTTGATCTCAGCATGTAGTACAGGTTGGCCACACATTTAGGTGATCCTCCTGGCTCAGCCTCCCAAGGGCTGGAATTACAGGCATGTGCCACCATGCCCAGCTGTGTCCAAATTTCTGTAACAACAAGATAATGCTCTTTTTATAGGAGAATTTTTTTTTAGAAGCAAAACCAAAAAAAAAAAAAAAAAATAGATTCTAGGTTTTGATCCCCTAGAAAGGTCAAAAGAAAAATCCAAAAATGATGCAGACCAATTCCCTGCCCATCTACACTCAAGCCTCTGAGGAGAAGCTGGAGGGCTACAAGGAGGCTGAGCCTGAGGTATACCAGTGTCCCCGAGCCTGGTCCTCTGTGCCACATATGCTCACCACAGCATGGGGTAACGGGAAGACACTGTCCGTACCAACTTCTGGGAGCTCTATGGGCCAGCACGGCCCAGGTCTGGCACCTAGAAGGTGCCTGGGCAGGGAGGCTCCGCAAGTGCACCCGCCCTCTTCTTTGTCCAGACTCTGTCCTCCTTGCTGGCCCCAGGAGCCATGGAGGATCTAGGGAAACCAATCCCACTTGATTTTGCTTAAAGGGGCTGCTGGGAAAGAGCAGCACATACGAGGGTTGCATTAGGAAGGGGATGATAGGGAGTGAAAAGCCCCACGCTGGCTAAAGGCCTGGGGCCTGTCCTAGCCCTCCCTACCTGCAGTATCGCTTTGTTGGACAGGTTCCTTCCCCTTTCTGGGCTTTGGGCCTCACTCATAAGGAGAGGGCCTTGGCTTTCCTGGCTTTCTTTCTCTTTAAGACATCCTCTTGGGTAAGACAGCATGGGGCATTTTCTTTCCCTCTTGACACCTGGCTGAGTGCCTCCACTGAGTGGCTTAGGAAAGCCTGGGCTTCTGGGAAGGAGGCAGTGAGACACCCTGCCTGAAGGCTTGTCATCCTCATGTGGTTCAGCACCAGCCCTCCAACTGCCATCAAAACAGCTTAGAGGGTACTCTTCCCTGGGGACAGGATTACCCTGACACTAAACAGCCAGGAGGAAGAGATGAGGTATTTTCAGATCTTGGGGAGAGCCTAACAAGCCCATTTTCCAGGGAAGGTCATCTCCCCTCCAGAGTGTACTTCACCAGCCACTGGCCAAGCATCAGGCAGCTGAAAAAGCTCTGTGAGGAACAAAGGGAGGGACCCATTACCATTTTAGACTACAACATGTGTCTTACAGAGCGGGGACAAGAGTCTTCGGGCAGAGGTTCTTTTAAATTCAAAATACTAAAAGTTCCTGGGGAAGGAGATGATAATACATTTTTTTTTTTCTTTTTCCTTTTTATCGATACTGGGGATCGAACTCACGACTGCCTGCTTGCAAGGCAGGCACTTATGCCACTGAGCTAAATCCCCAGCCCCCGATGATAATAAATTTAAAACAAAACGAAATACCCAAATCATCTATGTATGTTTCATAATAAAAATAAAATAAAAAGACAGGAATGAGAGCTGGGGATGTAGGTCTGTGGTACAGTGCCTGCCTTGCACCTGCAAGTCTATGAGTGCCTTCCTATATTGAAAAAATAGTAACTTAAAAATTAAAAAAGCAAAACCCAAAAAATGTAAAAAAAAAACCCTCTTCAAAAAAACAAACAAGCAAGCAAACAAACAACAATAACACCACCCCGCTGTGTCCCCAAACCCCAAACACACACATGCCCTTGAAAGGAAGCTGGGAGGAGCTAAGTGTGTTGGGAGCAGCTGAAGCTGGGTTCCCACAGGCACTGAGACTCAGGCAGGGACTGCCCACACGGCATGCAGCGCTGCGCAGGTGCCGGGCCTGCGCTCCCTGGGCCAGGGTCTGCGGTGGCACTCCAGGCCTGGCTCAGTGCTGGGGAAGATGTGAGCTGTGAAGAGCCAACGGCCACAGCAGCCACATCTGCCCCCGCTCCTCCACCCACCACAGAGACTCGGCCCCTGCAATGTCCTGAGGCCTGTGCTTAGAAGAGCCTCTGCCTCACCACACCCCACACATAAAATATAAAAGTCAAGTCTCACCAGGTCCGTCCTGAGCCACACCTCAATGTCGTCCATGACAGAGGGCTGTGCAACGGGGATCTATGGAGGCAGCAAGCATCGGGGCCACACAGCCCCCACAGCCAGGCGAAGGAGACAGAACACCGGAACAAAGTAAATCATCAAAAGCAACCCCCAAACAAAACCAAAATGCACACAGAGCAAAAAAAAATACAATTGGCATGGCACACACAGGCACACAAGGAAAGTCACATTATGAAATAGCAGGTGAGGAAAGCAGTGAGTTGCAAATTATAAGAAGCAGGGCTGGCCAGCAGAGGCCAGCTGCAAGGGAGGTGGCAGTACGAGTTCTTGAGATGGATAACTTTTTGACTATGTGTCCTTGTCCTCATGTCACAGGGTCTCTTGGTTGAGGGCTGCAAAGAGATTACTTTTTAATTTCAGTAATGCACTGACCTGCATTATGATTTTGACTCACTGGCCATGACAGCTCTTTGCCCTCTGTCCAGCTCAATTTGGGAGGTAATGTAAGGAGCCAAGAGTAGCCCCTGATGCCAGGAGAGCCAAGAGGCAGCCTGCTGGACTAGGGTGAAGATACTTAGGAGGGCAGGCAGTGCCAACCCAGGAGCCATCTGGGGTGCCATCTGCTCAGCCGTGTGCACTGCACAGGCTCCCGGGCACATTTTGGAAGTGGGGAAGGCAGCTGAGGGTATGTGCTCCGTCAGCCTCGATGCAGCTGGTTGGCAGAAGGCAGGCAGACTGCACTACCAACCAAGACCCTGCAAAGCCAGGGTTCTGAGGACAAAGGGGACTGCAGGGCTTTCGTCTTCTTTGTGTCTCTTTAGAGGAAACAAATCACAGCAGTCCTGACACAACAGCTTCGTCTCATCGTTTCTCCCAGTTTTCAGAGGCTGGCTGTGCTTCAGCAGTGAAAGGGAAGAAATTCCCTGAGGTCTGGGGAGCAGCAGCCAGGGCTCCCTAACAAACTTCAGGGGTGTTCAAGCTCATATCTGGGCTGCTAGTGCCAAGTGTCTCAGGAGGGGAGATTCTGACAAACACATGTGCCTTAAAATTTTTAACTTGCTGTCAATTATGATATAAAAGGTGGAGGGTACCTTTAACTCCTAGCAGCCATGTTAAAGAAATGCTAGCTCCCAGCCTACACAAGTGAGGCAGTGGTGCTTAACTGGGGTGACCTGCCTTCTTATCTACCCTGGGTCAGGGAGGTACCTTCCAGGGGCTCACTTGCTAGCATATTATTTTTAGGGGAAAAAAATGCCAGGATAATATCTATAGTTAACTACACTTCCAAAGACACAATCTAGGGTAAAAATAAAATTGAAATAAGTAGTGTCTAAAAACTATGAGAACTTTTGCAAAGGAGAAGAGCCCGAAGTTTGTATCACCAGCCTGAAGTGCCAACTCCAATCATGGAGGCTGACATCTGCTATGGGTTTGGTGCACACAGGCAGAGCACGTGATGCTAAGCAGGAGTCTTCAGAATCTTTTTTGTGCCCTAACTTTAACTGAGTAATGGCAACCCGCCAAACAGCTTCAGGAAAGTCAAGCCAAGGACAAGTGGTATGGTCAGTGGTGTGGTGTGGTAGAGCCCATGCCTAACATGCTCAACGCCCTGGGTTCTATGCCCAGCACCATTAAAATAAAATCTAACAAAGAGAGAAAGAAAGAAAAAGAAAAAGAAAGGCCCAAGCTACCTACCAACTGCCCAGGTAAGGGAGTAGCCCTCTCTGTTCCCATTTTATCCCTTTGACTTACTAGGGACTTCAGGTGGTTGAATTTAAAACATTTCAGGAAGTTATTACCCTGACATAAATCTTAGGAACAACACATATGTGATGACTCACTTGGGGTAGGGGGATGAAGGACTGATGGCTGTACCAACTGTGCCCAAGTCAGGTGCCAACCTCCCCTGCAAAGAGCAGCGGGTGTGATCTGCCACCCAATGCTTGCAGACAACCCGCCATGCCATGTTCCTGGAACAGGACACACCAATATTCACAGCCTTGATGCCTGGCTCAGGAAGGATGTGTACTACACTGAGTCCCCAGCCCTGAGGCTCAGAAAGTCAGCTGCTTTTTCAAAGGGAAAAATCAACCCCCAACACCTGCCAGAGCTGTTTCATATATGTGTCCAGCTTCAGTCTCTGGAAGAAACTGAGGATCCGTATTTTGAGCTTTTCCTCTCTTCTTTTTTTCTTCTGCCCTCCTCTCCTCTCCTCCCCTCCCCTCTTCTCTTCTTCTTTGTAGTCCTGGGAATGGACTCCAGGGCTTTGCACATGCTAGGTGAGTGGTATGCCACTGGTCATTTCGTATGTTGCCAAAGCTTGAAAAAAAAAGCCAATAAGGGGCCATGGGCCTAAAACCATCAGCTTTTTTTTTTTTTATACTTTTCTAATTACTATTAAAAAGGAAATAGAGCACTGGGGTTACAGTTCAGCAGTAGAGTGCTTTCCTAGCATGTACTAGGTCTGGGTTCCTTCCTCGTACATAAAAATCCATCTACCCATCCCTCCCACTTACCCACCTATCTATCCCTGGGGCTGGGGATCAAGCTCCAGTTTCCTTCTCTGAGTATTAATCTTGAAAGCCAATCTATGATAAAAAAATTTTTATGTACTACAAACAAGTACTAGTAGAAACAAAAATAAAAATCTTGAGAGCCAGTATGCTCAGGAAAAAAAACACTGTCAGATACAGTACTGCACACCTGTAATCCCAGCTACTTGGGAGGCTAAGGCAAAAGGATTCCAAGTTCAAGGCCAGCATGGACCAGTTACTGAGATCCTATCTCAAAATAAAATAAAAACTTATAAGAGCTGGGGTAGATATTCAATGGTATAGCACATACTTAGCTTGTGCAAGGCTCTGGGTTCGATGCCCAGTAATGCAAAAAAATCAATCAATCAATCAGTCAATCAATCAGGGTGTGGGAGCACATGCCTGTAATACCAGCAATCTGGGAGATTGAAACAAAAGAATCCCAAGTTCAAGTCCAGCGTGGGCAACTCAGTGACCTAGTAAGACCCTCAAAATAAAAAATAAAAAATGGGTTGGGAGCTAGCTTAGTGCAAAGACTCTGAGTTCAATCCCTAGTACTTCAGAAAGAAAGGAAGGTGGAGGGAAGCAGGGATGGAGGAAAGAAACACTGATACTGGAAACTTTTTTACATCCTCCAAAAAAAAAATCTCCACAAGCAGGACGATGGGAATGCTGTTGTTTCCTTTTTCCAGAGGTATCTGAGTGAGTTGTGTTCATGGAATGGTGTCCTTCTTTATTTTTGGGTATAGGCTATTTTGTCCCAATTACAGGAAAGTAATTAAGACAGATTTTGGTACCACAGCAGTGGGCTTTTTTTTTTTTTTTTTTTTTTAAATCGGTACTGGGGATCGAACTCACGACCACGCGCCTGCAAAGTCGGCTTATTCTTAGATGCTCTCTGACCATGGGTTCAGAAGCCTTTGGAAACAGTTCACAGGAGTTTGGGAAAATTTGAGGATGCTGGCCAGAGAAGCTATAGAATGCTGTAAGCTGAGTTTCATGGAACATTCTGGTCAGAGCTCAGAAGACCAGAATGCTGACAGTAATTCAGCCAGTAAAGACCAGGCTCAAACCAGACATGGTGGTGCATGCCTGCAATCCCAGTGTTTGGAAGACAGAGGCAGGAGTGTCGCTGCAAATTTGTGACCAGCCTGGGCTACGTGAGTTTAAGGCCAGCTTGAACTGCATAGTGAGATCCTGTCTCAACAAACAAACAAACAAACAAACAAACCAGGCTCAACAGGTTTCAGCTGGGAAGAAGGGCTTCACCATCAGCAGTTGGACTCCAAATTGTGTGTGTTACATTGGCAGAAAAATTGCTCGTGCCTTAAGTCCTTTTGGGACACTGAGACTAAAGCCAGTGGCAGAATCAGGCTGGATAAACTGGCTGTCTGGGCCACAGCCCTCACCGGTGCGTGGCTCCAGTGCGGGGCAAGATGCTTCTCTCTGGGTGTTGCTTCACTGGGGAGCTCGCAACCTTCCTTTGTCTGCAGAAGCCTCAAAGATGTGGGTGGGGAGGGAAAAGTAGGGTACAAGGGCTTGGAGCCAAGGCTTGGTCTCAGTTTCTTCATCTGCGAAACACAGTGATTGTGAGGTCATCGTTCCTTTCTTTGGGGGGTGTTGGGATCAAATCCAGGGCCTTTTGCATATAAGGCAAGAACCCCATCACGGAGCCACATCCCTTATCTTTCAAGGTGGGGCTTCTATTTTCTGATGCAGACCCCCAAAGAGGTCAGATTTATTGGTGTGACAGGCACTGAGCCACAGGGTGAGAACCACTGCACAGCCAGAGGGTTGTTTACTAACTCTGTTTATCTAAGGTAAGGCAGGGATTAACTTTCTTGTGGTCACATGCAAAACTTTAGCTTTAGCTTTCCTGTCCTGGTAAATAGGCAGTTGGAGCATTTCAACAGGGTTAAATTCTCTTGAATGATGTAAGTACTATCCATTCTGACTTAAACATGTACTGTCATGAAAATCCTTCCTGCAGAGGCTGAGATGGAGGGAAAGGAAGCTCCTCTTCAGGCTAATTTGAGGGACAGGAGGGGCCCTGGCTAGGGAGCACTGCACTGTCTTCAAGGACTTGGTGTCTTTGGCCTGTTGCTTTGGACACCTCACCAGGGCTCTGGAAGGCTTCAGCATCTTCATCTGTAAAATGAGGGGCAGCCCCAAAAGACCCTTAAGAAGCCAATTGGCTCTGCTGTGCCATGGTTATAGCATTTTCTGGGCAATGATCTGAGCTGTAGGCTAGTCCAATGGGTCTGAAGAGTGTGACTTGGACAAAGGAGACAGAGAGGAGGGAGAGATAAGAAGAGAAAAAAGAAAGGAAGTTGACTGGAACATTCTTCCATAGAAACCAGGGCCTTTATAAACCTAAGTCCTGTGAATATAGACAGGCTGAGCTAGTGGGGCCAAAACAACAGTTACACCAGCTCTCCCTATCTTCAGAGTCCAAGAGAGGGGAACTCAGATGTCAGGGCAGTAGATTGGCCTCCAAGAGGAGCCCAGGTTGTCCTGACTCAGCTTCAGAAATCAGAAAAGGATCAGACACAGCCAGGCTCTCCTGTGGCTAGGCTCTCTGCAGCCTTGGACCTGCCAGGCTTGAGTCTCTCAGGGTTACTGATCATTTGTCCTGAGTGAGAGGGACCTGGGGGGCTCCACTGCCAAACAGGCTTTGGCAGCAATAGACCTCACTAATCCACTTCTGGTATTGCTTTGACATATATCTGTTCACACCAGGGCATCCCCTGGCTATACCCTGAGAATGAGAGACAGCTTAGCTAATTACCATCCAAGAGAAGCAAAAAGACCTATAGGCTAGGGAGACAGGGGAGGTAGGGCCACTGGTTCAGCACTGGCCCATGCCAGATCTCATTTCCCTTCAACTGGCACGCAGCTTGGCCTGGCCAGCCAGCTTTTGTGTTGGGAACCTCACACCTGAAGTCCTAGGAGAGGAGGGGCTGGTCAGGTACTTCTTTGCAGCTTCCCACAGTCCCGAGCCCACAAGGTCACCTGTCCAATTTTCTCAACAAGTTTGCAGCACAGGTGTGCCATTTTCAACAACTGTGAAACTCCCTACATTACTTCAATCAAACCTAATGCAGAAATAGCCTAAAACTTCTGGTCTCACTCAATAGTACAAAAAGTTTCCATGTAAGAATCTGCACTCAGGAGGTTTGGGAAGACTCAAGGTTTCTATAGTATGGGAAACAAAGCAAAGCAATTAATATACATTGTTTTTGGGGGGGGGCGGGGGGAACACTGCAAGTTGGCAGGTGAGACGTCAGGTTAGCTGTTAGGTCTGTTTCCAGAAAGTTGGAGACTGCAGCTCTATGTGGGACAGAGCAGTGACGGGTGGGGTGGAGGTGGAATCTGTGTGGGCAGGGCCAGGTGCCACGCCAGCTGCCAAGGCCACACTAGATAGCTTGGGAAGGCAGTATCCTTTTTTGCAGGATTAGTAGGCACAAGGGCACATGGGCTAGATTTTCCCAGTCTGAACAATGGAGCAGACATGACCTTTAGGAACTGTCCTAAGGCCACTCACACATGCGGGCCAGAGTCTAGCCTGTCCTTCAGAAGCAAACGGGGGTCTGGTCTGACCAGCCCACGTCTCTAAATGGCCGTGGGGTTAATGCAGGAACAACTGCCTTCTCATTTAGGGCAGGAATATGCTGCTGTGATGGCAGGTGGCAAAAGAAAAGTGCCACAAAGGCACCGCTGTGCACAGGTCACTAGCCTAAGCATGTACCTTGGTTCTGCGGTCCTGGCTGGCACAAGTCCCACTCAGGCAGGCAGCCCTGGCCTGCCTGGAGTCTGAGACCTGCTGCTCCTTCCTGGACATTCAGCTGTCTGGGCTCTTCTCTTGGCCACAGGCTGGCCTCGAACCTAAGGGTGGTCCTGCACCTTCTTACCCCACCCGCGGGGATGCAGAGGCCTACACTACTACCTGTCGCCAGCTTCCATCCTCTGCAGTGCCTCCACCCTTCCTTACCACCTGTACTCACAGCTCTGGGCTCCCAGTTGGAGGTGAAATGATCACCCTGAGGCAAGCAGTCTAAATGGTAGTCATGCCCTTTCAGTGCACTGCATTCAGGGCCACCTGAACAGACCGGGCAGGAGAGATCCTCCCAGGTCTCTGTGCCAGAAGACATGAGAAGCAACTCTATTTATCATACTAAACTCCCCCAGAGTTGTCTTCTTTCCACTCTACTGTGTGTACATCTGTAAGAGGCCTCTAGTTCCTTGGACTGACTCAATAGACACAGGTAACTATCACAGAGGTCTACCAAGCCTAGAACTGCTGGATTCCCTGGTACTGGGCTGGGGAGCATCTGTAACTCATCAGATGCTTTGTGTCTGCTCCAGCAGAACTGCCACCTCCCAAACAAAGGCCATAGGTACTTGTGCTCATCCTGGAAAAATGAATACTGCCAAGAGCTCCTAAGACAGTTCAAGGAGAGAAGCCCCACCCCTACCCCCACCACTGCTAATGTTACAGACCCTGAAGGCCCAGGGCACAGGCCTCAGTAGAACACAAGAGGTGTTTCTGGGGCAGGAAGTTTGTCACCTAAGATCATACAAAGACAGTCGAGGAAATTTGGCACCCCATCAGAAGAAGCGAGTGTGGCCTTGTCCTGTCTGATCACAGGGACTAAGCAGTTGGCAAGAGGAAAATGCTATTACAAAGGTGAAGGGTTGGGATGGACAGCGGGCTTGGCTCAGCTCAGCAGTGGCTCCTCACCATTCCTTGGGTCATGAGCCAGCTGTCTATGGGCTCCAGGTCAAAGTCCCCACCTTTCCCTCTCTGCTGGGCCAAGGACAGAAAAGTCCCAGAAAGAAAAGTCACAGCAAGACCCGTAATAAAGAAGGCATAGAATATATTGTAGAAACAGAAAAGCCAATGTTTAGGTCTGGTTATTTGTCATATAAGGAAATGTGACTTGATGTCCCCCAGTCCCTCCCCTAGTGCCTCTCCCTTAGTGTCTGGAAAAGAAAAAAAGTTTAGTAACCACGAACCCCAACAGTATAGCAGATACTATGCCAACCGCTCCTGTGCACTTGGGAAATCTTTGAGCTCTACTCATGTTTTAAATGGTAAAAATGTTCAAAGTGGAGATGGCCGATTCGGTGGGATTGTATTTGTAGAGGTGTGGCTTTGAGACTCTCCTTTGTTGTGCTTTGAACTTCGCTCTTGGCCATTTTCATTTCTAGGTCAGCACAGCTTGGGAAGGGTCAAGGCAGCCTGAGGGACATATATACACACAGATACAGCTAAAACCTGCCCATTTGCTGAGGTCAGCCTTGCCCTAGGAAAAGTAAACATGAACAGCTAGGTACCAGCACATGTGGTCAACTTGCTGCTGTCATCAGGACCTTTGAGGTCAGGAGGCCACATATCCAGAAACTGAAGTAAGAAATCACCACATCTGGATTGGAACCTGGGCATGAGCACTGATAATGGCAAAGGTGTGGCAGGACACATGCTGGCATTGAGCAGGCAGGCCTGGCACAACAGTGGAGCGCAGACAGCCTGGCTGAGGAGTATCCTCACTGGGCAGGAGGCTGGAAGGCTTCCAACCATTTCTCTAGTGGGTTGGGAGAATAGTCTAAACAATGGGAGAAATAAAAACAACAGGGGCCTGGGATTTAGCTCAACACCAAAAGTGCTTGCCTTGCAAGCACAAGGTCGTGAGTTTGATCCCTAGTACCAAAAATAAATAAATAAATAAATAAATAAATAAATAAAAACAACAAATATTGTTTGGATAGTGGGTATCAGGGTTCAGTGGCACTGCCTGCTCTTCCAATGGAAGGGTTGAGTAGAGAACCCAAGGCAGCCACTGGCTCTCCTGGGCCCCCTGGTGGCCAGTCCAGAGATGTGCACTCTTTCAAATCATGTTGGCTAGACCAGATGGGAAGAGGAGTGAGGGAAGAGAGGATTTCTTAGATATAGCAGGTTACAGCCAAACTGTCTGTCTGGACTTGTTTGGGCAAGGGTTGTGGAAAGCTAAGAACTGGTATTCAAGGAGAAAAGAGTCCTTTGCAAACCTCTCTGTCTAGTGGATGGGTGGGCAATGTACCCTTGCCACCCAGCTGGAGAACCTGGTGGGATTTTTGGCTGTGGTAGGCAGCTACCCCAAGAGCTTGCCTCCTCACTGCCCTGCAAACAGCATACATCCACACATACTTTATAGTCAGGCACAAGTAAGAAAACGCTCTAGAAAAGCATTAGATATGAATCCTTTCTCCTTCAGTTATCTGTAATCTTAAAGAAACCACAGCTGCATCTAAATTAGGGGCCATGCAAGTAAAACCTTCAACTTCAAGGTGCCTTCCCCTGGGCTTTACTCCTTCCACACTGGGAGGTTCCCAGGATACCCTCCCAGCCACCCTCTAACTGCTCCAGCTCCCCAAAGAAATCCTGACCCTCAGCTGCCCTCCACTGGAGTGGCACTGCTTGGCTAGGCCAGCTATCGATTCACAGTTGGTTCAGGTTGGTACTTGCCTTCCCTGTGAGAGCATTATGCTGTCAGTGCACTGCTCAGCCCCAGGGCACTATAAAATGTGAAGAGAGGCCCTTCTTGGCCATGGGAGACCTGATTCCTAAGAGCTTCCCATCCTGCAGTAGGAAGATCAGGGGCTATGGAGTTAGAAACTTCCAGGATGGGGTCCCTACATGTTGCATGCCCCTGGACCCATTTTCCATGTCCTGGGCATGTTTCTCTTGAGTATCATAGCACTGTCACCTTACTTGGTGGGGGAGAACTCAACAAGACACTGCTTGGTGGCATACAGGTATTCCGTGCATCTTCCCAGCCCGTCCCTGCTGTCTACACTGGTCAGCTTCTACTGAACTACCCAGCTGGCTTTACCAAACTGCCTAACTTCTGCTGCAGAAGACTGGGCCAAAACAGGATAGAAGACTTACCACTTCTGAGCTCTGTTTCCGACTATCTAGTGCAGAAGCAAGTCCTCCAACAGTCTGGGGATCCTCATAGGTGACCCTAGAGACAAAGCAGTACAAGTAGAGTAAGTGGTTCCCCAGAGTCGTGGGCCAGGTGGTGACGTAACTAATCACTTCCTATCCCATGGTACCTTTCTCAGGTGTGACCTTAGCCCTGGGCAGAGGCAAAGGGCTCATGTTATATGCCTACAGCTGAAACAAAACACGAAGACCTGGGTCTGAGTATAAGTTCCCCACTGAACTCTGGGACTTGGGGCTTGTGCTTTTCATAGTCATTCTTTGAGTCACAATACTGGGGCCTCTCTGGCGCTCAGTGGTATGGTGTCAAAAAGTGGTATGGTGTCTGGAGCTCCTCAGGACGAGGAGCTAGATAAAAGCTCAATAATACTAATTGTATAAGCAGTGATCACCTTTGGGCTAAACAGAAAGCTCAAAGCATGCTCTGTGTCTTTCTAAGATGCAAGGTATTGTCTCTTTTTTGGAATCAGCTCCTCCAATTCCACATGGCTCATTTTTGCCACAGTAGCTATTGGAAAAGCCTCTGCTCTCTATATTTCTTTGGCAGTTAGATATTGCTGTTAGGCACACATTTGGCTCCCTGCATGGCTGCACCCTCCTGCATCTGTGTTCCTCCTGCAGATGAGGGGCCGAGTAAGGCAATGTCTGCAGCTGTAACATAGGCAGGAGAGAAAAAAAGGGTGGACTCCTATAACTGACAGGAGAACTGACACCACGGTCAAACCCAAGAGCAGAGAAGAATGGGAGAAGGGCTGGCATTCATTCAACATCTGCAGCCAATGCCAAGTCCTCACAGCCATATTTTAAAGTTCCTGGCAATCTTGGATCTGGTAGATAAAAGGCTTCTTTGTGCTGGACTATGACCAGGGATGAGCCAACTCCCCCTAGCACCTCTCTCCAATATCTTTAGACAGCCATTGAAGAAGCCCCACATACGTCTTGCGCTGCTCAGCTAAGGAGTTCCCTCTGGTCTGGGCAAACATGTCAAAGCCATCTCGAGGGCTGCACTGCTGGAGTGAACTGAGGGTGCCGCTGACACTCTCGGTCCCCAAGTCTGTGACAACAAAACAAATAAGTGGCAGGTGAGAACCAAATGTAAGTGGTGGAGCTGACGACAGGACCCAAGTGGGGCAGGTTTAGGGCCTGTGAGGAGGACAAGACCATCCTTAGCACTCCCAGTACAGCTAGGGCAGGCCAGTGGCAGACAGAACAGTATTGTACCCCAGCTATTGAAGAGGGAAAGCGGGTGTCATGAGCAAAACAGAGACTGCTGGCCGTGGAGAAGGCAGGGAGGGTCCACAGCCTTCTCAGCACCCTTCTCATCATCACAGGGTCTGAAGATCTGGGCTGCTTATTCATTTGGCACTTCCTTCTCAGGCACCCACCAAGTCCAGAGCCAGACCTCTAGTGGGCCCAGAGGAATCTAACGTAGTCCTTTGCCTTAGGAAGATCACCAAGCAGATGATACAGAGGCAAACAACTGCTGTGCTGTCTAAAGACATTAGGGGAGACTCCAAACTGACACAAGGGTGGGCCTCTGACATAAGTGGGCCTATGCTAGAGAACAAGGTGAAGACAGGGACAAAGGTACAAGGTCTGGAAGGCCAGGCTGTGCACAGTATCGCTGCTCAAGGGAGAGATGATGTAGAGGAGGGGGCTCAGAAGGCAGGTGAGAGATGGCCAGTGACGCGGCTCGAATGTTAGATAAAGGAGGTGATGGGCAAGGACCAGACGATCTTTCAGAAGGGAGGCAGCACTTTGAATTTTAGGCATTAAATCTGGGGCCCATAATCTGGATGGACGTAGGCAGAAAAATCTGTTCTAATAAGGAAACAGTGGTTACAGATAAAGTGTTAAGACGACAAATCCCAGCAACTAACAGGCCACTAAATAAAGGGCATTTTGTTTGTTCTTTTTGTTTTTTACATTTTCTTTCTTTCTTTTTTTATACTGAGGCTGAACCCAGAGCCTTCACACTGACCTAAACTCCTGGTTCTTTTTTTTATCTTTTATTTGGAGACAGGGTCTCACTAAGTTGCTAATTTACCTAGCCTGGGCTTGAACTTGCAATCCCCTTACCACAGTGCTGGGATCAGAGGTATGTGCCACCATGCCCATCTTAAATAAAAGCTCAACTTAATTGAAGTGAAATGAAGGAAGAAATATAATTAAAAAAAAAAAAAAAGAGGACAGAATTTTGAGGGCCATGTTTGTTAATATGTCAGTATTATTATTTTATTTGTTCTAAGTTGGTATCATCTAACACAAAGAATCTTAAGTCATATACTCATTCTTACTGTGGAAAGGTGGGGAGTTTTTTCTAAGTTTCACAGTAGAACAATTTAGGTTATGGAATAGCTCAAAGAAGGTAAATATATCTGTCAGTACCATCACTTGTCAGTAACATCATTGCTCAGCCCACTGCAGACATCGCCAATCAATCACATTTTATCTTTTTAGGTCGTGATTTGGCTTTAGCATCAAACCTGAGTGTCCAGCAACCAATAAACTAAAACTTATTTGCCATCTTTGGCTTAGTTAATACTGAAACTTGGAACTTTCCCCACCTTTGTTTTCCAACCCAGGTTTAAACTTCAAATTTCAGGAAAGAAACTATGAATTGAAAGTTGTACAATTGGCTAAGACTCAGAAATATACCTTCACAAGGATTCCCCAAATTCCCCAAATGCTCTCTTTCAGCCCTCCAACAGGGGTGAGGCCACAAGGAGGCCCACAGTAGAGACCCCTTTACATAGCAGAGAGACACTCACCCAGGCCTGCCAGCTGGGAGGAGAGGGAAGACGGGGGCGCTGTGCTCCCCACCATTGGGCTCACCACGGCAGGAGAGCCAGGGCCCAGGTCTATTAAATTGTCTTCAGTCACTTCGTTAAGCACCTGTGGGACAGGAGACAGGGGTTGAGGGCCGAGCCTCTGGGTAGCTCTGAGGTGAACAAGGCAGGCACCATATAGGGCTTTTTTTTTGGTACCGGGAATTGAACTCATGACCTCACGCTTGCCAGGCAAATGCTTATGCCGCTGAGTTAAATCCCCAGCCCCAAGGAGGGTTTTGTAAGAAAAGATATCAACAGGGCCCCACACAGTTGCAAAGTGGCTCCCTCACTGCTTTCAGAGTCCACGTGTGAGCCCAGGCTGTCAGTCAGCTGCCTGCTGGCCTTCTCTCCCTTCCCACTTCAAAGAAAGTAGCTCTGAGTTCTAGAGGGACAGTGAGGTTCTAGAAGCTGAAAACCTAAGTTTTGTGTCACTCTCCTGACTGCCAGCAAGCTTTCTCCAGGCTCCCTTTTTTACAGTTATCCAAATACTTTAGCCTTCTTTAGAAAAACTAGACGGGAGGCCAACAAGCACATGTGGCCTTGTTGTGGCCCTAATGTGTGTGGATACTCTCCTCAGAATGGGGGTTCTCACTTACTCCATTGCTGGTGTTCTGAGCTGACCGGCCTGACCTGTATCGTTCGAACCTAATAGGGAAGGAAAACAAAGCAATAAGTAGCATGGAAGTTGTGTGGAGGCTGCTGCATGCACAGTCCTGTGGAGACCTCTGGGGACCCAGCAGGGGCGCGTCTCTTCTCAAGGAGACCAGCCAGTCCCAGGTGGGGAGGGAAACAGTAGATCCTACATGTACAACTGTGTTATGCCTTTTTCCATGCTGGACTCCCCCCTTCAGGAGGACCAGCTCCCTGCCTCTTCCATAGCTGCACTAGTTAGTCTTAGGGAGGAAGTACTGGCTATCACACTGAGGAAGCACCACAAGCATCTCAGCCATTTCCTCACATACTTGGGCCCAAGCAGTATTCTGCCCACTGAAGAGGAAGCCGAGTCAACTATCTGACCTGGAGGCACCCCACCTGTCTACCTACAAAGCCAGGGACTAAACACAGGCCCCACTCTACTTCTGCTAGATAACCCTCAATTCCACCTCTGGACAAAAGGAGTGGGGCAAGTATGGGGTGGCACAGAGGACAGGCACAGATGCTGGCTATGCCTGGAGAAAAGGCTGGCCAGAAGCTGTGGAGAGGTTTGGGCCAACCACCCAGTGGGTGCCAGGACGGTGGGGCAGGCAGCTATGCTGGGCCATCTTCACTGCACCCAGTCAGCAGATGGCTATAGATGGGGCTTGACTGTGACTAACCCCAGAAGTGTCCCATCTACCACACCTGGCATTCTCCCATTGGCAAGGAATACATGAACAGCTATGGGGTCTATGGGGTCAACAGATACAGTTCTGTACTGTATTTAAAAGCTCCAAGTGCCATGAGCCAAATGCCATGGACCAAGAGGTATCCAGCAGACTTTCCTGGCCAGAACCTGGGATGGTTTGCTGCTCACCAGCACCTGGTGGCAAAGGACCCCATAAGGAATGATCTGACTAGGCAGTGTGGGTCTATTGTAGTTTTGACTTGTGTGGCATTTTTCAACAAAGAGGGCAGAGATACACATCTGAAACACTGAATCCTGAGGTGCCTTTGCCATGCTATCTTTGAGGGACCACTAGTTTTACCAAGGTATTGTTAACTGGGATGGCACCGCAGGACTGCTCACTCTAGGCAGTGCCTCTGAGTTCTTTGTAAGGCCAGGACAGGTAAACTTGTGAGTAACAATGCCCACATTAGCTCCTCTTACCCTATTATATCAAGGGCTTATATAGGTCTAACATGTCAAAACCAAGCCCATAACACGGGGAACTGAAACCACATGGCAAGACACACGGGCCTCAGGCTGGGAGTCAAGGCTCCTGGGAACTGTTGTTATTCTCTGGACAACATGCTATAGACTGCTGAATGGGCCCACATTCTTACTGCACAGGCAACTTCACCTGTTAGATGGGCACAGAGTCACCCATCCCTAGTGTCACAGGCAAAAGCTGAAACAATCCTGTGGTGTGACAACTACCATAATACCATCCTCTGAGTCCCTACAGGGAAATGTAAACACAGTGTCTGTTGCCAGGACTGATGCTGTCCTCATCCTCCCGACCAATCCACCCAGGAAGCTGTGAGTCACATAGAGGGACTCTAAGACTTGAGGGGACTTACACTGTCCCATCCTCTTGGGTCTCATTGTAATTGGGAGATGGGCGGCCTGGTGAAGGTCCTTTCTGGTCCTTCTACTGAGCTATTCAGGAAAGTCCAAGGGACAGCCCATCCAAATCATACAGTGTGGACCTATCCCAAGAAAGTCTTTGAAAAGGAAAAGAATCTGCAAGAGTTGTCACTTTAAGACAAAAAAATGATTTGGCTGCAGAAAGACCTGAAAGGAATGTGTTTTCCTAAGCAGCAGCAGCAGCAGCAGCAGCATTCTGGCATTTATACCCTGCCTGTTTCTCCTGATCACTCCAGACACACTGACACTTACAAAAGGAAAATTCTTGCTTTTTCAAGATGGGAAAGAGGAAATTTTTTTTTTTCTTAGTAGAGCCCCCCCCTTAATCCTTTTCAAATTCAAAGGATCATCAAAGGAGCAGGTGCGGCAGCTCTGGGCGTCAGTTCCCGAGTCCTAGCCTTCTCTGGGGCTGGGGACCTACAGGAGGGGCAGAGCAGCCAAAGGCTTACAAAGAGCAAAGCCCAATTCTGCACATCAAATTCCTGCTCTCTGTTCCCAGGAGAATAAGAGCATTTTCTCTGTCATCTGGGAAGAAATTAGCATCTCTGATGAGTATTTTCTAACTCTAATCTCTCTCTCCCTCTGTCTCTCCTTGTTTATGAAAGAAATCCCTCTGTTATGGCAACAATCCTTTCAAGGGCCTGCTCCTACCTCTCATAGCGGAGGAAGACATTGTTGAGGTCGTCATTGACGTGCAACAGCTCCTCGGTGACCTCCTCATTGGACACACGGGAGATGAGCTCCACAATGCGGTGCTGCATGGCCCGACAGGTCCTGTTCAGCTCCTAGGGAACACATGCACCTCTGCACAGCCTGCTAGGAATGCTTTTTGTCACGTTCTAGTGTCTTTGAAAAGATCTGTACTGATTCTTAAAGTCACAGAAGGAGTACATGCTTCTTCATAAAGCCAGACGTGTACAGAATGGAGAGTAAAGGCTCCCTCCTTGCCGCCTCTCACTCATGCCCCAGAGGACACAGTACTTTTTCAAATGGCCACACATACACACTTTGTGTACAGATAAGCATATGTCTATGTAAACCATTTTTAAAGTATAAAAATATGATTCTTTGTAGCTTGTTTTTTCTCTTTAACGAAAGATTTTAGACCTTTTTCCCTATTACTCTGTACAGCCTGCCTCGTTCCTTTGTGTGTGTCACAATGCATCTTGCCATTTTGGTGTTGTGAGGCACACGCTTGTGATCTCTTTTTTGGAGGAACCCAAATAATACAGTAATGAGCTTTGTATACATGATGCTTACATCCTTGGGCAAGTGCTTGCACAGCATAAGCTCCTCATAGGTAGAATTTCTAGGTGGTGGTATGTGTGGCCATTTAGAATACTGATTATTAAAGGACCTCAAAAATATGCTGTTGCTTTACTTATATTGGCAGCAATAGCATGAGTATATTTTATGACTGCATAGGGACCTTGTGCTGGAATGTCCATCTCCTTGCCAAGGTCTCAGAAGTGCCACAAGCTCCCACAGAGCTCTGCCCTAACCAAACATGACACTTGCATACTCCTCATCACCATCAAGCCCTCCTGACCCTTGGAAGCAATGTCCGTTGAGAACAGAGCCTTACACTTCATGGCCTAGATTCCATGAGTCCTCCCTGCCTGGTATAAGTGCCTTACTGAGATTCTTATTTAAACCTATTTGTGAGGCTCCCTCAAATAACTTCCCAGGCTCCTTGCCTTCTTGTAGACCACAATAAGAATGCTACAGAGATGTGGCAGCTTCCCAGCCTGGCCCTCAGACTCCCAAGTCAGGAACTGCCTATAAACAAAACTGTAAATCCCACTGCCCACCAAGGGTAAGGGAGACTTGAAATGGTGTCTCCATCTACCCAGACACTGGAGGAGTGAATGAGCCAGTGACATTCTGTATGGCTCATTATTTTGCCTCATGATCTCCATTCTCTTGGATAGCATTCTCTCTTGCCAGATTCTCTCTTTGAGGTGTGTTGTCATTTTGTTCTCCATGGCATTGAACCACACATACTGAGCTGGGTCACTGAGGCGGTCAGACAAGCAAAGAAGGAAGTGGAAGGTGGCCCTTCCACAGGCTCGCTGGCACCACGAAACACAGCACTCATCCTCAGGATTGTTATGGCTGGGCCCTAAATCAACCTTCTCCTCTGGTCCCTGGCTTGAGATTTCTTTCCCCATGTTCCCAGTGCTATGACTGACTCACAAGGACACTCTCCAAGTGTTCCTGAGAGAATTCATGAGTGAAGGCAGGTTCTGTTTCTCCCACACTCAGTCCATGATATGAAGGAGACTTTCCAATCTCACTCCATTGGGCCTGTGTGCCTTGGGCCTATCTCTGCAAATATGTACATGATAAGTGACTTCAACCAGCTTCTGTTGCTGTCCCTCCTCCCATGATGCTCAGCTCTCATGATTAGTCCTCCAGCGTGAGGGCAGCCAAGAAGGCCTGAACCAAGTGGGTCAGGCCAGGATCACTTGAGTACAGTTGTACTTATTGGGCAGAAGGGACATGGATTTAGGTGAGTGGGTACTCACAAGTTTGGTTTTGTCATACTGACAAAAAGCTTTGTTAGAGACTCCTTGACACTGGGTCTGGCTACCTTGCTGGGTCCTGGCTATGGCACTGCTGCCTTTCATCTTGGTTCTAAGTCTCCATAGCCAGAATGGTGTTACAATCTCTCTTAGTCACTGAGAAAGCCAGAAAAACCTTCCAGATTTTTTTCTAAATAGATTTCCAGTCTTGGTTCTCCTAAAACTCTCACCCTGGGTTTTGGAGAAGGCAGGATCATCAGGGCACACTCCTTTCAGCAAAGGCAGACCTCACCACAAGGCCCAAGACAGGAAAGTTTGGCCCCTGTCTGGCACTTATGGCCAAGCAGAAAGCTCTGAATTTACTTGGTTGGGAAAGGGAAAGAAAAAGGTCAATCAACTTCATCCAAACTGCAGGCCAACGATAAGGTGCAAGATCTACAAGTTAGGGAAGTGTGGGGGCATGTCATGGTAGACAGTTCTAAGTTTGTCTGGCAGCCTGGGGTACGACTACATGGAACCCACGGGCCTTGTCCAACCACATCGGAGACTGACAAGGATGGCAGGGGACCCCAGGTATTTACCCACTGCTCAAGGGCCCTGAGAAGCTAACTCTGCCTGCAGCGTCCCTTTTTTTCCATTTAAAAAACTCCTATCCATCCTTCAAGACCTCAAGATGTTTCCCTATCTCAGTATTTCATCATGAAAATGTTAAACATACAGCAAAGTAAATATACCACCATCTATTTTCTACCATTAGTATTTTTCAGTGTCAGATTTACCTATTTATACATCTTTTGGGGGCTTGCTTTTAGACAGACAGATATACTATCTGTCTTTTTGTTCATTTGGAATGTTTTCTGGGGACTTACATCTCCCCCTCTCTCCTTAAGACTCCCTCAGCATAAGAGACATACTCTACTAGACCTTCCACCCCAAAATGTTATCAGAGCTCCTTTAGCAGAGCTTCCAAGTGATGACCAGATGCAACCACACCACACAGCAAAGCCCCAGGACAAGAGTAACTCTGAGGTGGTTCCCTGATTCAGAGACCCAAACCAGACACCTCAGAGTGCTGCCAAGTGTGTCTCAAGAATACGGCTGTGTTGGGACTGGGGATTTAGCTCAGCGGCATAAGTACCTGCCTTGCAAGCAGTCAGTCCTGAGTTCGATCCCTGGTACCGATAAAAAGGAAAAAGGAAAAAAAAAAAAAAAGAATACGGCTGTGACTACTCCAGTCACCAGGACCACCAGGCCAGAGAGGGCAGGAGCTTCTCTTTGTCTCACCCACGGATGCCCTGCCACACCGAGGTTCTACGGACCAAGCAGCAGACAGCCGGCTGTCAGTGAATGGACACGCTCTTCACCTCACCAGGACTCTCTGCTTCTCTGAGTAAAATAAAGGGGCTGCACACACAGGGAGCTCTATAGAATGTCATGCAGGTGCCCCCGAGACCTCCATGATATCTTGCCCCATGGCAGCCAGGGCAGTTCTACTTTCATCTATTTTAAAAAGCAATACTGCCATTCTCTGTAGAATTGTATTTGTGGAGGAAAGGGTTCCATGACTTTCAAATATTGTTTGGGAAGTACCAGAGGTTTTGTGAGACTCCAGTGTTAAGTCCTCAGCTTGGAGGGAGAACAGGGCCCAAAGGCAGAGTCCATGTAGTGTTCTCATAGACCCTGAACACAAGAGGTATCTCCTTTGGTCTCTATTTGCTGCCTCGGCTTTTACTGCCTGCCTGCTGAAGTGGCAGCTGGAACACTTGTCATCTTGCAGGATAGTCTTACAGGCTCCCATCCTAGAGGTGAATCCCAATGGCTTTCCTAAGCCTAGAGACAGGCTGAGTCCATTCTAGGCACTCTGCATCAGGGCTCTTTGCAAAGAGAAAGGTTTTCCATTTCCTGGCTTCAACATTTTTTTCGGCGGTGGGGGGGGGGGTCTATTTGAGACAGGGTTTCCCTATGTTGCTCAGTATGGCTTTGAACTCACAATGAAGTCCTGGCCAGCCTTGAACTCACAGCAACCCTCCTGCCTCAGTCTTCTGAGTACTGGGATTATAGGCATGTGCCACCATAGCAGACTCAACATTTTAAATGACTTTCTCAAAGAAGAAAAGATATGAACCAAAATGTTAAGATTTCTGTACTGTCATGCCACTTGGCCACCCCATGGCCTGCCTACTACATCCTCAGCCAGCTCCACACAGGTTCAGCTGCAGACTTTCCTCTGTCCAAACAATCCAGGCCAAGTGATTCTTTGGGTCTAAGGCACCGGAGAGCCAGCAGTTTGGCTGGGTCACCCTTTCCACTGTGCAAAAGCAGGGACAGGAATTCTCTCATGCCAAAGATTTTAGCTCTGGCTTCTTCCTTATCTCTTGTTCTCAACAGAAGGGTAGAACAGCTAGTCACTTGTGCAAAAGCTTTCATCTACCAGAACACGTTATCATATATCCTCTCTTTTCTGTCGAACTAATCCCAAGGCTTTATCTTTTCTTCAGAAGTCAGTCTCAGGTACATCTCACAAAATGGTCTTTTAATCACTTTTGTGGTTTCCTCTAAACCTTCTTCAGTTCCAGGGAACACAGAATAAGGTCTTGAAGATCCTTTCTGCTATACAGAAGGAAACAGGAGGGAAAAGAAAATCTTTTGAGGGAAACAGGGAGTAATGAAGCTAACCATATATAATATTCTGTATTTCTCCAGAAAAAATGGCCTTGGTCATTCTGTCTTTGTTGCAATGAGATGCAAGAGGGGAGTGGTTTATACCATCTGCTCCTTGAAAGAAAGACAGAGAGGATGGTTTCTTTTATAATATCTGATGGGTGACATATAAGTATGTTCATTTTGGGCAAATAACGGATTAATTAAAAGTTGTTATTGGGGGCTGGGGATTTAGCTCAGCGGCATAAGCGCCTGCCTTGCAAGCAGGCAGTCGTGAGTTCGATCCCTGGTACTGATAAAAAGGAAAAAGACAAAAAAAAAAAAAAAAAAGTTGTTATTAACTGAAGACAAAAGTGAAAAGCCTAAAAAAATCAGGAGAGAAAAGGCAATAGATAATGGAGTCCCAAGCTTTTTTAGGATTCCAGAAAGCAGCTAAAAGTGTGCACTTAAGCAGGGACAGGTACAGTTTTACATTACTGCCCTGGACTCATGTCCACACACAGGATTCAGAAGATGTAGCCTAAAAACAGCTACACAAGAAAGAGATGGACCTGGGTTTTTGGATGATGGAAGCTCTCCACTTGACAATGCCTGCCCCATGAGAAGAGCTGTTCTATGAGATGAGCTTCCAACAGCTGCACATGTTCCATGTAGACTGGGGAGCAGGCAGGGCTTACAGAAGTTTCTGAATACTTAAGCATCTATTCCCTGTGAAAGAGGAATTAGTTTTGTTCTGTTTTCTAGGATAGACCAAGGTCAAAGCTTCAGCAGACTGATTTGAGCTCAAGTACAGGAGGGTTTTACAACAGTGGTTCTAGTTCACAAGCTACAATTTGTGGAGGACTTGCCTGGCCCCAGCCCTATGCCAGGTATTTTTCAGGTGAAAGCAATCACTCCAGATTGCCAAAGGAGAAAAAATGTGACTTGCCTGGTATCATCTAGCTCATCGGTGGGAGAGCTAGGATGTGCACTCGGTGATTCATAAACTGCGCTCTCTACCCTCTATGCTGTTCCCCGTGTTTAACCAGATGCCTACCTGGAAACAAAAGTGCTTTCATGGGCTGTGGGAAGAGCCTGCCACTGCGATGTGAGACAAACCAGGCAGACACTAGGATGATGCAGAAAAGGAAACCTGAGCACAAACAGGGCTAGACTCTTATAAATCAGCAAGTGGATTGTTTGACACTTGCCCTAGGAGGCATGGCTAGTCCCCAAATCCTGTCCCCTTTCCACAGGTGCTCAAGCTAAATTAAAAGCACAGGGTACTAGAGTGGCCTCAGCCTCTACTCACATACCAACCATCTGCTGCCCTGAGTCCACAGGCAAATTGCTCATAAGCTTCCCTGCTGTTCCTGCCAGAATGTGGGAGGATACACCTGAGAGGGCTTTGCCATGTGCAGGGAATAAGTGGTACATAACTTGTCAACAGTTATGATCAACTACTCTGGTGCAGCCTGGGGCTGACTCCTATAGTTACTTCTCTTCCAACTCCCTTTGTCTCCTAGCCAGTATTTTAAGCTTGAATCAGGAGCAGATGCTGTTGGTGGAGACATTTGGTTTGGTGACAAACGTGTTTATTTCCACTGCCCTGGCCAGCACTCAGCTCTGGACTGCTTCTTCCCCGAGCACCCTGGCTGCCCTCCAGCTTGACTGAGGGGTCCTGGGGACAGATTATGATACCAGTTCTTTCTAAGCAGACTGTGGCATTTTCTCATGCATAAGACTCACTGTTCTGTGTAGGACCCACCCTTGGGAGCCCTGGGCCGCTGTCTTCTGACTGCTGGGGAAGGAGAGGAGGGAGCACGTCAGGCATGTGGCCACCAGCCAGGAGAGCTAAATCTGTTCACACAGTGCTGCCCACTCCTGCATCTCCCAAGCTGAAAGGACAGCCTCCCACGGGCACCAAGTCGATCTTTTTCTGTTTGATTTATATGACAGCAGTGCAGCCTGGGAGGCTCAGAGTTGGAACAAAACAGAGGGAAAGTAAACGTCATGGGAAGCAACCTATTTTTGAAAACTGTGAGCTGACGCCAGGAGATTAGGTTCTGTTTGTCTTGGCTGATGGGCTCATTTTAAAAAACAAAACAAAACAAAAATCAAAACCACACTCACATGCACAAGCACGTACACACACACACACACACACACACACGCGCGCACACACACACACACACACACACACACACACACACGGAATACTCTTGCTGTCTGGATTTGCTCTGGCTGTCTGGAAGCATCTTGGCTTTGTTCAACCCATCCCCTGCTGCCAGGAGCTATTCTGTCCAGAGCAACACTCCGTCAGCAGGAATTCCGACGCTGACACAGCACAAAGCTGCCTCTGGAGGCCCCTGGACTGCCCTCAGATTCCTGTGCATTGGGTAATGCCTGGCAGAGCCACTGCTGCAGGCTGGGGACAGAGGCCAATGATGACACATTAAGTGGGGGAGGACCCACAGATTGTGGCACAGAGACAGTTGGCCCTGCTGAGTTGAGCAAGCCTTCACTGATGCAGGTGGCAGGAATACGGTCTGGGAACTGGGGAGGCTCCACACTGGGGCAAGGCCAATAGCAGTCTGATATTCATATTACATGCGATGAGATGTCTCCCTGTCTGTCTCCTGCATTAAGCCATGAGCTCCTTCAGAGCAAGGCCCAGAGCTCCTGCCTCTATTTGGCCCTGGGGTTGGGCTCTGTGCAGGGCTCCATGCAGGTTACCACCCACCCTTATTCCTATAAGAACTAATAGACTCCCAATAGAGAGGGGGTACTCCAAGAAGCACCTGGGGCCCAGACCAAGCCACAAGGACTGTACTCCTTGGGCAGAGTCATCAGAACCATGTTCCTCAAGTGGCCAATGTATGCCAAGAGCAGCATGAGAGATATGGCACTCAGGGGGCCAAGACTGATGACCAAAATACAACATGGAAATAGTAGCAGCAGCAGGCATGTCAAGAAGCACCCACCCCAGATCACCAGGTCAGTCTGGCGCCTGACCTGCCCACTCATGCTCCTGCTGGAAAGATGTGGCACTTGCAGTTCCTAGCACCCTCTCTCCACTTTCTAGAAGGTCACCGCTCCTAAGGGCAGCCTTGCTGCTATTTTCTTCAAATCCCAGTCATGTGAAACTCAGTGTGGTAGATACCTGGGAACAGGCTCTGGGTCTGGTTGGCCTAGGAAACAGGCCTAACGGGACCCCTGGCTCTAGTCTTAGGGGGGACTACAGGCCACTTGCTCCTAGACCCTCTCCTGTCATGCTCAAGTACTTTGGGGGTAGGAGGACCACAGCTCAGTGGTAGAGTACTTGCCTATTATGTGCAAGGTCTGTGATCAATCTTCAGAAGTGTGTGCCCCCCCCCACACACACACAGATATGTGAGGTGTCCAAAGGCAGCATGGGTAGCAGAAGTTCCTCAGGTTAAGCCCCTCAACCTAAGTTCACTCAGCATTTGGGACAGAAGTCTCAAGTTTTTGAAAGTCTCAGGAATTCTTCCTTGAGGGGAGCCCCGAAGCCAAGAGTTAGGAAGAAGATGGTACCCACATGCTATTAGGCCATTCAGGGCTTGATGCAGGGGTATCTATGACATGACACTGAGGGAGCAGGGCCACACACCAATTTGTACCATAGCATGGTCTCACCCAGATTTTTAATAAACACAGAAAACAGTGTGGAAGAAAATATATTGAAACATCAGTAGCATTTTCTATGAATGCCTGGGTTAAAAGAAATGTATTTCCTTCTTAATTTTCTTTCTTTAATTTATTTTGAGGGTGTGGCATGTGTTCTATAATTGGCATTTTATAATCAAGAGAAATGTTAATTAAGGGAACTAAAAGAGTGGAGGAGTTGTATTGGTGCCCATCATTAGGAAGTATAAGGTTGAGTGTGGGCTAGTCCCTCTTAATAACAGTGACAACAGACAGCCTAGGCCCCAGCTGTGTCCCCAGGTACAAAGTCCTACCACAATGTACAGCAGCCCTCCCACAGATGAGGTCCTCCTCACCTGCAGCAGTTCCAGATCAGATGAATCCTCCTGCCCAGGAACCATCTCTGTTAACATCTCAGACATGACTTTTGTATTTCCCCGAACCACATCCAGCTCGCTCCGCAGCCTGGCAATCTTTGGGTCACAGGGAGGAAAGCAGGAAGGAGATGTCAGCCAGCTGTGCCTGGGAGATCAAAATGAGCCACACTATAGGAAGGGGCAGATCTGTCCATTGGGACATCTAGTTATCTTCTGCATGGACTCTGCAGGAGCAGCTTTTCCATCTCCTTCTGGTCTGCCTGTAAGGGACTTCAGCTTAGAAAGAACTTAATGGGAAAGTGAGGTCATCCATGGAATCTTTGTCATCAATAGCCTGCCTAATGATACCAAGTGAAAAGTAATGTGTAGTAAAGAGTGCAGGAGCAGGATCACCTGCCTGCAGGGTACAGGGGAAGGATTAGCTTCCGTTCTGATGGACAGGAAACTGACATGGACTGTCCTGCCAAAGGCTCACTTATAAGTAGCTCAAGCCTACCAACCTAACTCCTGGCTTGCCTCCTATTCACACTCCTCCCTCAGCGCTGGCAAAGAAGGGACAATGGCATGGTCCTGGAATAATACTTGTCACCTAAAAAACAACTGAGTGATCCCTCTGTTTCAGTGAGGTTTCATAATAAAGACATTGTCACAAATAGGAAACAAGGGTTTTGAAATCCAAACATTGGATAGATTTATTTTCCAAGTCTGACCAGTTCTGAAATTCAATGGAAATTCTTCAGGTTCATCTAAGACCAGGTTCTGCAACTCATCTAAAAACATCCAGTTTGGGGTAATGTGGCATTAGCTATTAGGAAGTGACCTGCATAAGGAGGACAATGTTTAGGATAGGACAGGAAGAGTCCTTTCAGAAGGCCTCCCTGATTGCAGCCTCTGGCACCTTGCTGATTGGGCCACTGGATTCTGATGGATAATTTTTCATCAAGGATTGATATAAAACTCTCAGTGACAGATAAGCTGTTCACAACTCAATTACATTCCTTTGCTTTTAGCCACACATTTTGACACTATTTCCTCCCCTCCTCAGGCCCTACACATACACCTACCCTGCATTTGGGCCACCTCCCATTCCCTGAGGAGCCTGCTCCTCTGTGTGCTGCACACACCAGGCCGTTGCTTGCACACGTCCTCACTGATAGCCCCATGCTGGTTTCAGAACCCTCAGTGCTCAGCTCTGGGCTGCCCGAGGCACTGCTCATCCCTGGCTCACAGAGCATCCAGCTCTACTCCCCATCATGACATGACTACACTCTATCATGACAGTCTTGTATCTGTCTCCCTCAGGAAATGGGCCCTTCCATCTTTGTGTCACTGCAGCCAGCACAGTGCCAGGCCTGAAGAAACCTGTGTATGTGTCTCTCAGAAAAATAAAAAAGGAGGTCTTTTGGCTTTCCTGGAAGCATGCAAGTACCTGTTCTGAGTTGGCTGTAATAGGGCCAGTCACATTCAGAGCTGGGGCTTGAGAAGTAGAGTAGTTAGCAGGAGGAGGTGAAGAATAGGAGCCAGAAGTTGTCCTCTGTTGGGACTGGGACCTGGGCATGGTTGTGGCTGGATCCACTTCTGGGACACTCTGGCAGGGCAACAACAAAATGTTTAGCTCACTTGAGTTGCTATGCAACCTCGCCCAGCACCACAATTAAGCTAGGGTGGTGCTTTCCCTCAGAGTTCATGGAACCCCTCTCGGCCCACCCAACATCTCCATCCAGGCAGTGGAGCTAACAGTGGTTCCTCCATTCACTCATCTCTTAAGGAGTTTGCAATAGACAACCAATATAACTCAAAAGACCATTCTGATCATGGTTCCATTATGAAGACCACCTTAGGACTCAAGAGGAGGGAGGGCTATAATAAGCTTTGCTAATCATGAATCCTTATTTGGTAGCATACGATTACATTTTGGCCTTTACAAGTAGACTAATATAAATAGCAATTATGCAATTTACAAAACGTTCTTTATAATTATAGGAACAACACTGCTCCATGTCATTATTAGGAGAATAAAGTAGGTTATGTTTATTCCACAAAGCCTACTAAGTGGTTTGGAGAAATCATAACGTGAATAATGCTTTGGAAAGTACAAGTCCTTGTGCTTTCCCCTGGGGCAGCTCAGATAACCTTGTGAACATTTGTGCATGTGTTTACAAGAGACAGTGCACCACTGAGGCCCCATTTCAGAGATGGGTAGATGGGGCAAGGCTGGACTACAGTCTCTGGATTCTGGAGCTTTCCCAGTTCTCCCCCAGGACCAGGAGCTGCTTCTCAGCCCAGCTAACAGAGGGACTAACTTTGCTGGAAAGTCATGAATGGTACGGCCTATGTCTTTTCTACTTCTTTTCTTTCTCTTTCAGTACTAAAGATTGAACTCACGGCTCTGCACTGAGCTGTATCCTTAGCCTGGCCTTGATCATCCTGCCTTAGTCTATGGAGTATCTGGGATTACAGGCATATATCATCATGCTTGGCCACCTGCATTTGCTTAATTCTAAAGTGCAGAGTCGCTCAGTGCAAGTTGTAAGAGCTTCAGTGGTATTCCTCTTTATCGGTCTTTCCTGGGCTTTGAATCCCAAGACTGAACATGAGGAATACAAGGATGCTCAGACCAATGCTGAATGTTGATAGCTCAAAATACATTTAAGATTCATTTGTCTAGGTTAGCATAGTTGCTCAGTAGCATATGCTTAGCATGCATGAGATCCTGGGTTTAATCTCTAGCATCATATTTTTAAAAATCCATTTGACTTACACAGTTTAAAAAAAAATGAAAGCTGTTTTTTTGGCCCCTGATGAGTAATGTTATCCCTGTGCACTGTTCTGAGGTGCTCTAGGGCTCAAGGGGAACAAGGACAGATCCCTACATCATATTCTAGAGGCCTCTCCAAAGCAGGTACTAATGACCCTCACATAAAGGCTCTACCCAAGAAGCCATTTCCATGAAAACCCTGAACTGATCCCTCTATTATATTCCTCCACAGTCAGTGTGAAAACCAGGGGGAGACACCCCTGCCACTTAATCACCAGTCAACCAGCTGTCTTACTCCTGCATTCCCCTTGTTATTAAAAAGAAATGCCCTGGAGCTTTAAGAAAGCATGATGACAAGCTGAATAATTCAAAGGTAGCAGCAGAAGGGTGGTAGCAGCAGCTTGGCTCATCCGTTTTGCAGTCAGTTTTTCTAGAAAATGCCAGCTGGAAGCTTACCCGCTGGGGAGTGTGGATGGGAGACAGAGCGTCCAAGTCTGCCATGGGAAATTCAACCCCCTTCCTCTTCAGTTCCTCATATATGTGCACCACACCAGTGAGGTCAGGACTGCTCCGAAAGGCATCTGCCCATGCCTGGGAGGAGAAAGAAAGGCCCATGAAGAAGCAGCTCTTACCTACGCTGCTCTGAGACTGGCAAGGCACTCAGGTCCTTTCTGAGGCCAATTCTTTCCTGCACTCCGTGAAGCAAGCTGGCAAGACCTATTTTGTTCCTCTCCTGCAATCACTGCCCCAGCACGGTTGGTGAAATCCTGGTTTCAGTGGTGCTGCTAAGCGTGAACAAAAACAAAAAACTTAATTCAGCATGTATTTCCTTGGAGATGAGGCAGAGAAATAACACCTAAGCACCGTGGAGCATCCTGAGATGCAGACATTTTCCTAGTCACAAGAAAATCAGTTGCTGAGGCTGTTAGCAGAAGGGAGTAGAAGGCTCGGCTCGGTGGCTCCCAGTAGGACGCCCACCCTCACCGGAAGAGACAGGAACTATAAGCAAATTGAGCAGAAAGGAAAGGAGAAATTGATGTGTGATAGGAAATCAAAGCTAACTCTACGTTTCTTCAATAGAGCAGGGACTGCTAAAGCTGAGTTTGCCTAGCCCAGCCAGTCACAAGTGGATGGTATAGCTTCAGCTCAGAGCTGCTTGAGCCCCTCAGGAGGCAGACCATGGCCAGTGGCAGGGACTCACTCCTGGAGGGCTGCCCCAGCCCCATGCTTCTTCCATGTCAGTGTGCTGCCCATCACGCCAACACGCTTGCCCAAACAGAAACATCTATGAAAAGCACAATTACTAGTCTCCCTTAAATGAAAATTACAAAGAGATGAAAGAGCAGAAATATGAACAGATTATTATTTCTGTTGACTTATGGAATTGTTAGCAATTTAAAAATATCCTGGAGGATGAGGAGTAGCTCAGTGGCAGAGAGCTTTTGGAAGCATTTGGAAAGCACTGAGTTCCATCCCCAAAAACAGCAAAAAAAAAAAATTAAATAAACCAATTAAGAAGAAGGAAAGATTCAAAACCAGAAGTTATCCAAAGGACTCCTCAGAAACTGGGTCCGCTCTAATGCAAATGTATCCCCAAGGAGGAGGCAGCACCTCTTGCGCCCCTGATGCCATTGCTAAATCTGTCACTTTCTGCCTCCAGTGATGTATTCCAACCAACCCTGAGGCAGCCACAAAAACTCTAACCAACAAACATTTTCAAAGTTAAGAGGTCCGTTTCCAAAAAGCCTCCTTGCTGATAGCAGATGGATGTCACTTACTATAAACAGTGTAACACTGAAGCTGAACTTGCCTGGCCCAGTCTAGCATTAGCAAGTGGGACAGCTTCAGCTCAGCCTGACTCTCCTTGATGTATATACTCAATTTTTGCATACTTAGGAACTTAAAGTCACCGTGGCATCAGAACACCCTGTCTTGGCCAATATTTCTTCTGGATTCTGAGGAGGGCAGGAGGTGACTACAGAGCTTGCTCAGAAGGATGAGCCGGAGAGTCCTGCTGCCTCAGCCTGCCCTATCCATCCTCAGTTCCCCAGAGCCTGGCTCCCAACAAGCTGCTCCACTGCCTTCCACCTCATTCCAAATATAGCTGAGTTCTGTGACTCCACATGCAAAATGCTCTGGTGTTCCAGCTTAGGTTCGAAACTTGAGTATCTACAGGCCAGGGTGCAGCTCACTTGCCTAGCACACCCAAGTCTTGGGTTCCATCTTAACCATCGCACAAAACAACCAACCAGACAATCAGACAAACACAAACACTTAAAAAAAAAAAAAAAAAAAACCCTTTCAAGTCCAAAGTCCATATTTGCAGTGTACTGGGGAAGGTAAGTCCTCCTGGTGCCACTCCATGCTCCTGTTCCACGGGAGTATAAGCAGTTCTAGGGACTCCTTTCAGTTCCCCCTGATCCCTATCCAACTCAAACTAGAAGAAATAAGATGCAAAATTAAAGAACTAGCTATCCTTTCCAGTCAGTGGCCCCATCTTCCATGGTGCAGCTGTAACAGGGATCTGGAAGGAAATCATACATCCCAGGTTGAGTCAATCAGATTTCCCTCCTGCAAGGCGCTCAGCCCTGGGACTCAGAGCCCTGGGTCTTTCTCTTTGGGTAAGGCAACTGTGCTCTGTAAATGTGGACCCTGAACAACCCACATGTAAGCTCAGGGCCAGGAGGCAGAGGTTCTGGAAAAGGCACACATAGTGTGCTGAGAGGTGCAGACATGCAAAGAGGGGATCTGGAGGGCTTTCTTTGTCCCTTCTGTCCTTTTCTAGGTCCAATCACACCCCTGGCCTGGGTAATAAGGGCTTCTGGGAGGGTCTACCTTGTCAGGACAGCTCTCTTCCTTGCCTAGGCAGGCAGAGTTGGCATCTGTTATTTGCAGCTAAGCAGTCTTGGCTAGCGTTCTTTGTCCCCACCTGCCACAATCCCAGACCTTGTCTGGGCCCCCTGTGCAGCCTGGGTGAGATGGCTGCTAACAGAGCATATGTTCATGACAGCAATCTCCACTGAATAAGATTCTAATGCCAACACAGGAACAAATGGAGGTGGAGGGGCTTTAAAGGAATAGTCATACGGGAAAATGTGGAGATGAGAGAAATCCAGAGATGATACATGTCCCCAGCATCTTTCTGGAACATGCCTAGATAACTGTGCTCCTCCCTCCCCCAACAGGTCAGCTACCTTTTGAAGGTACTCAGAGTCTCTTGTCCTTGCACAGAGAAGGCAGTCAGTCAACATTTGTCAGAGTAAATTGAATTCAATTCTCATGGTTACTAAGCATCCTCATTTTCTTACTTCAGAGAATAGGAAAAAAATGGTCACTTAGGCTGTCAACAGACTGTCATGACAGCGATAAAGCAGGGGACTTCTGGAAGGCTAAGCCAGTGGAGTGCCCTGGGGAGCCATGTCAAGCCTCGGGAGGTGTGCTCTGCCTTGTGTCCCTAATATGAAGCACAGAAGTGGCAGAGAGGGTGGGAGGCAGCTGTCTTCTAGGTGATGGCCTTATCAGGAAGCCAAGCCTCACAGTAGTGGCAGCACATTGTCTCAGGATTCCCTGTCATAGGAGTTGGCCAGCTGATGACTGAGTAGCCTCCTTACTGGAAACCTCTTTATATACTTTCCTCTATTCCTGCCTGTAGCCACAGTATTTGGAGGTTGAAGGGCTAACAGGCAGGCCTAATCAGGGGAATAAAAGAGAGCGATCAGTTTGCGCCACTTCCTTCATTCCGTCAGATTATACACCAGACTTCAGACAACATCGTGAACTACATCCTAGTCACTGTTGCATCTCTCAGGGTTTTGACAAGGTTTTGAGTCATCAATTTTCAGACAATAGACAACTGCAAATTTAAACTAAGGGCTCTGAGATGCCTGTCCTATTCTGCTTATATCTAGCCTGGACTTCTTATTCTCAGTGACAGGGTCCCCAAGAGGTTGCATGTTCACTCAGAAGGTTGCCGTGGGCCCTCGCTGATGGAAATCCTGTGGTCAAACTTCCGTTGGATTTTTGAGGCAGCCACCAGCTTTCTGACACCTCTGAAGAATATAACTCCCAGGCCTCTTAGCCCTCCTGCTCCATTCCTGTCCCACCACGAACAGCTCACTTTCTTCAATGGAAAGAAGAGTTGTCAGTGGAAAGAGTATTTTTAGACTCTTTGCTAGGGTGCAAGGAAGGGGTGGGGCACAAGCAGGTCAAGGGTACTCCAGCATGACCTAATTTCTGTTCCTCAAAACAAGCTCAGAGAAAATCTGAAGGGTGTAAGAGGAGGAGCAGCCCACTTGTCTTCTCATCAAGTGGCATTTAACAAGAAGAAACAAAAACACACAAGGTCTGGGGATAAAGTGAAGGTGGAGTGCTTACCACATGTGGCCTTGAGTTTGATCTCCAGCCCCACAGAAAAATGAAAAAGAGGTGGGGATAGGGAGAAAGGCATGCAAGACCAGGCAAGGGGAAATTTAGGGATGACGGTGTAACGGTGGTTAGAGAAGGCTGTAGTGCTTGGGGTGGAAATGAACACAGGCAAGCTGCTAACTAAGCCTGTCTTCTCTCAGCCTATCTCTCCACCCACCCCTCACACTTAAATAAGGAGAATAGACCCAGAATCGTCCCGCCATGCAGGGTTTACACACTGGGCTCACGTTCAGAGAACAGGCAGGATGGCTTTCTGGTGTTCTGAGGGGGCAGGTTGTGGGATGACATAGGCCTGATGGGTTGTTTCTTGGGGAAGTTGGGGAGGATGGAATGGTTAAAGGAAGACACAAAACCTCAATGTGGAGAGCAATGGAGGATGAAGGGAAGAAGGGGGAGGGACTAGCTGGATTCTGTTTACAGTTGGCCCACAGGGCTGCTGGTGGCAAAGGCATATCATTAGAAATGCTATTTCTATGACTGGCTGTACCCTGACATACACTGTGACCAGTACACCAGGAAGGGAGCCAGGAAAGGTAGGCTTGGGGCATGCAGACTCACAAGGATGAGCTCCATCACCCCTTTTTCTATAGGCATAGAAAACAGCAGAAAAGTTGCTCTAAGGATGGTAGTGTTGCTCACGCCTCGTACGCCTGACTGGTATGTCCAAGGCCCTGGGATGTATTCCCAGCTCCACAGAAATGTAAACAAACAAATGAAAAGCTGCTTTGGAGCTAGTTCTGCCTCCAGCCCCTAAACTTGGCTACAGCCTTGACCCTCAGGGCACCCAAGGGTGGGTGTGGGCTCAGGTCTGATGTTAGCAAGCAGATCCATGATTCCGTCTTTGTCAGGGACCCCAACTGAACTTCAGGGGTGGTGGTGGGGTAGTAGCCCCATCACTGTAAACTTTTTAAGTGTTTGATCTACTTATCTAAAAAGGAAAGTTGAGGGCCGATGCCATCCACAACATTCAAAAGCTGGCTCAAACTCTTTTGGGCTGTGCCTAGGCCACCTATCATCTGCAAGATTCAGTTTGCCCTGTTAAGCTGCTCACTTCATTTAGATGAAAGAAAGAAACAAAAGGAATACAGATAGCAAAGAAAGAAGTCACATTATTATTTGCAGATAACATGATCCTCTACATAGAAGACCCCAAAACCTCCACCTAGACTCCTAGAATTAATAATCAAATTCAGTAGTACAGCAGGACACAAAGTCAATACTCAGAAATCAATAGCGTTCCTGTACACCAATAATAAACTCATGCAGAGAGAAATTAGGGGATTAACACCATTCACAATAGCATCAAGAAAATTGAAATACTTAGGACTTACGAACTAACATAACCAAGGAAGTGAAAGAATTCTACAATGAAAACTATAGTACAGGGGCTGGGGATTTAGCTCAGCGGCATAAGCACCTGCCTTGCAAGCAGGCAGTTGTGAGTTTGATCCCTGGTACTGATAAAAACGAAAAAGACACACACACAAAAAACTATAGTACATTGAAAAAGGAGATAGAAGAAGATATCACAAAAACAAAAATGGAAAGATAGTGCCTGTTTATGGATAAGCAGAACCAATATAGTCCAAATGATTATACTTCTAAAACTGTTATACAGATTTAATGTAATCCTAATCAAAATACCAACAGCATTTCACACAGAATTAGAAAAAGCAATCCTAAAATTCATATAGAATTAGAAGAGACCAAGAATAGCAAAAGCAATTCTAGGCAACAAAGGCAAGGCATTGGCAACAAAATATATAAAAATATAAACAAACCAAACAAACAAAAACCAGACTGTGGATCACTGGAACAGAGCAGAGGATGCAGAAACAATTCCAGGTATATTCAGCTACATTATCTTTGAAAATGCTAACTAAGAATTAAACTTTTGCTGGAGGAAAGAGTCTTTAACAAATGATGCTGGCAATACTAGCTATCCACATGCCAAAGAGTGAACCTAGACCATCTCTCACCATATACTAAACTAAAAGCAAAATGAATCAGAGATCTAAATATTAAAATAGAAACATTTAATCTGCTGGAAGAAAAAATAGGTAAAACTCTTGAAGACACAGGTGTAGGCAAAGACTTTCTGAATAGAAACTCAGTTGTACAGTACCAGAAATGATATCAAAAATCAACAAATATGATCACAACAAATTAAAAAGCTTCTACACAACAAAGGAAACCACCTACAGAGACAACCTACAGAATGGTGAAAAATTTCTGCAAGCTGTTCCTCAAAGGAATAGTATGTATCTAGAATATATAAAGAACTCAAAAATTAGACCTTCTGCATTTAAAGACCCAATTAACAAATAGGCATCTTAAGTGAACAGACACTTCTCAGATGAGGAAGTACAAATGGCCAATAAATATATGAAAAAATATGTTCAAGTTCCTTATATAAATTGGCATAATATTTGCATATAACCTACATATATCCTCCTGTACACAGTAAATCATTTCTAGACTTAAAATCAGATATTACTTACATGACTTAATACAATGTAAATGCTATATAAATAATCGTTATGTTGTATTGTTTAGGGAATACTGACAAGCAAGTCTATGCACGTGCAGTAAACATGCAGTTTAAAAGAAAGGCTGACACAATGCTCCATACTCCTCAGGTATGCTACAATGAAGAAGACAGAAAACACAGTATGTTGGTAAGGATGTGAAGCAACTAAAGTTCCTGTGTGCTGATGAGAGGGTGTGCTGCAGAAGCATGGAAGGGGACTCTGACACCCACACTTCTCCTCCTCCCTCCTCCAAGCCACAATTATCCACTTGCTAACAAGAACAAAAATACTATGTAGCAGAAGATGCTCTCCCCTAGCCAGTATACTTCAGATATTTGCCCAGGTAATAGTTCTGATTGCAGTTTCTGTTATTTTTATTTCTTAGAAACAGCTTGTCACTGTAATGCATATTGTAAGACCCAGTTCCCAACTGAGAAACCATTCTGTCTCTGTACTTCCTGCTTGCTAATCCCATACAAGCCCTAGATCACCAGAGATCAGGGCCTGGTTTTGGAAATGATCCTAAATCTGCTTCCAAATCCTGAGTGTCCTTTTGGTGTTTCTGTTTGCTGTTGCAATTGCACACACACTCTCCACATAAACTGTTCTGGACTCTGGTGACACTGCTTCTCTAGGCTCTTAGGAACAGGAACGAGGCAGACAATAGAAAAGTTAGCAAAGCCATGCCTGATGACCATAAAAGAAGGTGAAGTCAGAAAGAGAACAAGAACAAAAATGTATGCACACGGTTTAAATTGGATGGCCCGGGACCTTTGAGGTGCACCTGAATTATAGAGGACCTGACTTCTCCAAAAGCTGGCAAGGCCAGGTATAGGCAATGGCTCCTTGGTTGGCACATCTTGCGCCTTTCAAGTCTCATGCCCAGCACCCTCGAGAGCTACTCTGTGACCACACTGCTTCTACCTGCTCAGCCACTCACTATCTGGCTACCTCTTTTGCTCTTGCTAAAGCCCCACTCCTACCCCTGGCTTGGTCTCCCATCTCCTCTGGGCTCCTGCAGGTTTGGCTCACCTCGGCCATTATGGCTGACTAACCTATGGTGGATATCCTTATAAACTGATGAGTCCTATCACCAAGTGCTCTGTCTAAAACTCAGGTCTGTGCATAGCCCAGTTCAGAAACCTCCAGTGGCTTCCTACTGCCTTCAAGACCAAGCCCAACCTCAGCACACACAGGCAACAAGCCCTGCCCATTCTCTGACCTCAACTCCTGGTCCCTGTAAGTTTAGCCTCAGACTTTCTTCATTACACACTGCTCCCCAGGGGATGGTTTTTTAAAACAAGTCTACAAATCCTTTCACTCTCATCTCTTCAAGAGATACAATTTAATTTCCACTTTTGACTGTCTTCTAAATAGAATGTAACAAAAAACAGTGCGTGACTTCTGAGACTAGGTCATTCTGAGACCTAGTCTTGACATCCCAGAAGTCTCCATATTTTCCTCCAAATGGGAGGAGAGCACAAGGATTCATCACAGGCCTCATCTTGCTCTGTTACAACCGAGTGCAAGAAACCTACCTGGATCAGAGCAAGTACTTTGTCCTGCACAATGGTGGGAGGGTTATTCTTGGGAGAGATGATTTTGACTAGAACATTGTCAATGAAGTCTCGGTTGGCCACAAGGATGTGGAAGCGGTGACCACAGTTCTTTACACACGTTTCCAGCACCTGGTGGGGAGAGAAGGGCAAGAAATCACCACTGTGGGAGATGGAGGAGACAGCAGGTTCTGAGGAGGCTGAGTTTTCCTCCACCACCCCACCCTGCTCTTGTTCCTAGATCATCGTCTGACACACCTCCTCCAGAACCAAACCTCCAAGGCACATGCATTCCCATACTCTTAATTCAGCCTTTCCTCCGGGATGACAGCAGCCCCTTGCTGACTGAAAGCTTCTGTCCCTGCACAATAATCAGGCAATTAATTGGTAATTGAGGCACCAGTTTTGCATAAGGATGCTGGTGTTTTAATGGAATCAAAATGACTGAGCAGTCCCTAAAAATTAGCATTTTAACTCCTCTCTCTGGGCCTCTGGGTATGAGACATTAGCCAATGGGACACAGGTTCTGTCACGGGAGGAGGTTGCTGTGACAGCCTGAATTGCCTAGTGAGTTACTGGTCCTTGTGCATGAGGAAGCAAATACACACACACACACACACACACACACACACACACACACACACACTCACTCACACTCACACCTTTGCTTCTGCAAATAAAACTGGCGATGATAATGGATCTTCCACCTTTGACAAATCATTTGTGAGCCTCAGCTGCTACTTGGCTTTAAGTTCATGTTTGGATCAGACCCTACTCTTTTTCCTTTGTCAGGGAGGTACACAAGCCTCAGCTGCTCAGAAAAACTGACATATGGGTTCTGATCAGATAGCCAGTGTGGGTTTGAAATTTCTTCCCCGAATGGGCCAGTACAAGTTCCTCTGGGTCTCTATTTCCTCTTCTGAAAGACAGGGACAATGAGCCTTCCCTCACTGGACTGTTGGGAAGATTAGAGGAAATATATGTAAACACCACAGCAGTGCCTGCACAGAATAGAGGTACAGTAAATGACAAGTACGATTATAAGATTATATTTCATAAGCCTGCTGAACGCATTTTAGTAAAGGAACAGCTTCTTACTCTCTCACAGGACAGGTGGGAGGCACCACGGAATTCAGAGGTCCAAGTGAGAGGGCCTCGCCAATCCTAAACAGTGTCTCACCTCTGAGCTCTCTGGAACCAACCTCATCTGGCCCTTTCCAAACACCTCTCCACACCATGCCACATGTCTCCTTGGAGGTCACCCCCAGCCACAGAGGACAGTTCTGACTGCCTTGGTTATTCTCATTTGCCGAAACTCATCTGACCACAGAGAGCTTACACAGGCATTCCTCAGGGCTGGCTCAGACCCTCACAAGGCACTGAATACAGGAAAGTCTAGAATTGTGACACTGCCTAAACGCTGGCTACATGCCAGGTACTAGGAGAGATCCCTCCACTTCATATTAATTTTATTCTCACAACTGATTGTTCTCTTTAAGCAGATCATATTACTCATTTTTTAAAGTTAAGAGGCTTATAAAGAGGAAGAGACTGGCCTAGGTGAAAATTGTGGCACAGTGTCAAAGGCAGGATAGAAACTCTAGTCAGCCTTCCCAGGAGGTCTGATCCTTCCACTTATCTGAGGGCACTGGGCCCCCTTATCACTTTTCTCTAAGAGCGACCTCAGCTGAGAGCCCCTTAGACAACAGGCATCACCTACTATATATTTTTGTCCCTGCTCTTGTTCCTTGAAATAATCCTGTAGAGTATAACCCCATTTTAGAGATGAGAAAGCTGAGGCTCAAAGGTGCCATATAACTTAACCTGGGATGCCAGGGTAAGGCTGTCCTGCACCCAGCAGCTTAGCACCAGCCAGAATCACTCCCTTCTCCATTGCTGCCTGTGCCTCCAGAGATCTCACACTCCACTCAGCTTGCCCAGGAGAGCTCCAAACTGACCATCCCCAGGGCCTCTGAGTCACTATTGGTTTAACTTAGCCAAGAAAATACTTCTACTTCTTAGCCTCTGCTTATGCCTGATTCTGGGTAACCAGAAGATGCTAAGCATTCAGGTTCTCTCAGTGACCTACAGGAAAGAGTGTTCTTCCTGCCTTCAAGTGGCTTATAGGCTCCCTTTTCTCTAGGATTCTCTAAATCTACCCCCTGATCCAGGTAGTAATTGCTGGGCCAAGACCAGTGACAGGAAGGACACTTATTTCATGAGAGATAGGTAGAAAGGGTAGAGCAAAGGCCAGGGAAGCAGGCTGAAAGCAGAAGGGTGGGCCATGGGCAGGTGGCAGGGCACCTGGAGCTCCACTTCAACTCCTAGGCCTCCCTTCTGGCCGTTATGGAGCAAGTCTATCAGTCCTAGACAGCAGGTTCCAGGTCAGTGTGCCCTGGCCAGAGGTGCATGGGCTACAGAGCAGGCCAATGCCTATCCAAGCAGGTGATGTAGGAGGTGCTCCTTGGGTTGGCAAGGACCATTTTAGGCCATCCTTTTTAAAAAGGCTCCTGGTAAATCTGTCCCCGTGGGTTTTAAGGCAGGAAATATACAGTGACAATCTTCTGAGATACAGCCAAAGCCCATGAAGTAGGGGGTCTCTAGGAAATCAGAAGCAGAAGTTTCAACCATAGACATGAAAGTTCAAGTAGATAGTCTTTAAGGGTTTCTAACTCCTGCTTTGGATAAATATTAGCACCCTTTATGTGGTAACATGAAACTAGGGAAGGGCCACAAGCAGGGGGATTGAGAGCAACCAACAGGGTAAGGGAAGCCATCAAAGAGCAGAAACAAGACCATGCAAAGTATGCTAGGCAGGGCCTGGGGTGCAGGAGCAATGGCTCTGTCCCAAAGGCATCACTGGGTTTGAAACAGAAATCAGGAAGAGTAGATGATATGCACCATTCCCTGCTGTAGTAAGGCAAGTAAATGCAGATTTTCCTTCAAGACAGTTACCACAAAGCTGGGCATACAGAGAAGTGTTAAACACCAGGAAAATGCCCTGACATGTTACAGCTTATTTTCCAGTGACAGTTACCGAGAACTACACATTTTGGGCATTACTCTGGGTTTAGGGAACACTGTGGCTCAAATTCTGAGGAATAAATAAAAATGTTCAACTCTCTTTTTCAACTAGCCTTTTCTCCTTTAATATTCAAATCCCAATTCCCTGGCATACACAATTTTCCTACTAAGTTTCAAATTTTTACTTGGGTAGAAAATACAAACGGTTACTCTGCTTTAAAGGGAAGCATGTTATGACGGTCTTGGATAAATAACCCACTATTTGAAACCCACAGAGAAGTCGACATGCTGACCTGTTATAGTTTCTATTATGAGAACACACTGCGCCCAGATTTTGCCACATCTGAAAATCTGTTAGCTTTCAAGACAGAAATAGCACCTGAAGTCTCCCTTTTAATTTTCTGACATCTTAGGAAGGGAAAAATCTGATCTGTTTGTCCTGAGTCACTTGGCTAACTTTGCAGCTATTTTCAGCTTTTACCTGAACAAAAGATCACTTTATGATGGCAACCCGCAGCTCGGTACCTTACTAGCTGTGACAACTGCACAACCGCTACATCTCCCTGAGCCTCAGTCTCTTTATCCCTATGATATAATGAAACCTACTTGGGAAAGTAGTTATAAACATCAACATCTGAAAAGCTTACCATAGTCTGGGGCGAGAACTAGACAGGTGGAAGTCAACATTTTCCTAAGGAGATAACTGACCCCGAGAGTCTCAGAGCAGACTGGCAGGCAGGAAGAGGCTCCCCACAGCCTCTGGCTCCTCCACTCTGGGCTTCTCCAAGGACTGTGCCACCCACGCACTAGTATGTATACATTTACCAAACTGAAGTTTATTTACCCCTGCTTCAAAGGACAGCGGGAAACCTGAGACTCTGTGTGATCAGAAAGTTCTGCAAGACTCCAGCAGCACTGGCCCAGAGCAATTTGCAGGCTGTACCATGTGGGCAGAGGGAAGACCCTGTGAGTGTGGCTAGGGCATAAGCGTAAGGCTCCCCGGTCTCCCACCACAGGAGAGCAGCACTCACCGTCAGTGCCAGCATCACTTCCCTGTAGTTTCGGTTCCCGCTGAGCCGCTTCTTCAGGGCTCGAATGGCATCCTTTGGCCTGGAGAAACAGACAGACATATTAAAATCCTCACAAGTCCCATTTTGGGTTCCTCGTCACCTCTAATTTGTGTCAGCTAGCATACATACAAGGCTATTCACTGCAGCATGTTTTTTTTCTTTTTTTTTTTTTTTTTCAGGTACTGGGGATTGAACTCACGACCTTGTGTTTGCCAAGCAGGCCCTTACGCCGCTGAGCTAAACCCCTGGCTCATGTAGCATGTTTTTAAATGTAAAAGATAAGAAAACACAACTAGAGGCTGGGGATATAGTTCAGTGACACAATGTCTGCGTGGCAAGTGTGAGATTGTAAGTGTGATTCCTGGTACCAACAAAGAGGAAAAAAGTTGAATGGCCACCAAAAAGAAACAGGTTCAATTTTATCATGGCTTATCTACCCAAAGGAATATTATGCAGCTGCAGAAAAGGATTATGCATTGTTATGGTTCAAAAATCAAAGTGCATAAAATCATTGTAGAAGAGTGCATAAGAGATGTTACTATTTGCATGTCAAAAGGACAACAAATGCTTTACACAGCATGTGTGTGTGGCAGTAAGAGAATCTCTAGAGGGAGCCAACAGAACTTGGTAAAAAAGCTTCTTCTCAGGAAGGAAACCAGGTGGTTGAGGGAGAAGGAAAGATGTTTTTCACAAGGCTGCCTCACCTCTTTGAGACCTTTTGAGTTTTGAATCACATGCCAGTGTTATTTGCTCAAAATAGTAACTAAATCACTGGAGAAGTGCTGGCAAACATGTGGCATGTGTGTCATTTTTCTTTGAAGACAAAAAAGATGTTAACACATGTGTGTTTTTTTCTAAACTAGAATCTCAGTATTTGGTTTTAATTTCAGAGTTAGTACTTTGTGATAAATAAGTGGGTTTTGGGTTACCCCTTGGGTGCTCATCTCTAAAAGGTTCACCATCATCTCACTAGTGTATGGGAGCACTGAAGAGTTTTTCTAGAGAAACCACAACAGAGATGTGAAAGACAGAAAGGCCAGATACATGCTGAGGCCTGGATGCTCTGCTCTTTCTGGACTCCATGGAATTCCAGAGAAATCTTTAGTGAGTTTCCTCAAAACCCAAGGGTCTTATGTACTGTGAGCTTATATAGCTGATGCAGATTCCCATGGGAAACCTTGGAGAATTACAGCAGTATTTAGTTACAAACAGGTCTTGTTCAAGAACTTGTTCCTAAGCTGAAGGTCTGCACCGTGAATGAGTTCTTCCTAAAATTACTATTACACCTAAGATTAGGATTCTGAGCCAGCCCTCTAAGCATATCTACTATATGGACCTTTTGTGTCTAACGGGTTTAAAAATTTATTCTCCTAAGAATTCAGTAAAGTTGTGGACTAAGAGCTGCCCCTGGCATGTAGCCCTGTCCCTTGATGCCCCATCTCACTGTGTTCCAGCAGAACTCCTACGTGGCTACAGGCCAGTCCTTTGCTGTCACAAGTGGGCTCCAGCTTTCCACTAAAGATATCTCATTGTATCTCAGTCTTTCCTAGATTGAATGAAAGTCTGAGACTTACTATTCCTGAAGTTCTAAATGTTTTTACTCTATCAAATGAAAAAGTCCTTTCAGATGTGTGAGAGGACGCAGGGGAAGGGAAAGGTGGAAGCTCTGCTAATCAGCCTAATTCAGAGAGAAAAGATACAATAAGTTGGAAGGCAAGAAAAGCTTCTGAAAGAAATTTTTTAAATGCCCAAACCCCCTATTTACCATTCCCAATTTGAAATATAACTACCCTACAGGAATTCTTGGCTCCTATGTCAAAGGACTAACAGAACAGGGATGTGCCTTGGCTAAGCTATTTGCAGAATGGTTGTAGCTTTCAAGCACAGATGCTGATTTCCGCAAATCTGGGACCTGAGTGGCTCTCTGCTTTGATGGGCTGAGTTGGTGAAAGTCAGCAGCTTCTTGCCAAGAACATGAACTGATTTCTTCTCTCAAGGGATCTGCCAGCACACAGTCATCCCAGAACTGCAGCTGCCAGCACAGCCTCTTTCTTTTCCTCCTGGATATCCACAGAAGACAATGGAAACAGTCTCCAAGCTCACGGGGCTTGTTCTATCAGGGCCCAGTACTCACAGTTCTTTGGAGTATAGGGCAACCAGACAGACCACAGGCTGTCAGCTGTGTCCCCAGGACAGAAGATTCAGAGAGGAGCACAGAGTGTGGTCAGAGGAACTGCAAAGTTTCGAAGAGCTGCCACAGCCTAGGTGGCTGGAGTTGGAGCCCAGACAGGGCAGAGGTACTGAGGGCCAAGGTAGAGCATGCAAGGATTAGAAGGATAGGGTGGCATGTGTGAGGCACCAAACTCTGAGAGCCATAGCAAGTTCTCCACTCATCTTGTAGCTTGAAACCTCTTTGTTCTTCAACTGCTTTTCTGAGCAGCTCTTTCATCCCCACCCATCTTACACACACACAGCTGCTCCTCCTCCACAAACCTCACTGCCTTAGCAATGATCTTGCTCTCCTGCATTTACCAGTTTTCCCTCTAGCTCAGAGGCTGAAGCACACACAAAGATTCAGTGAGCTGGGGAATATCAGAGATGGTTATGAAAATGGTTCAGGTCAGCAGATCCTCATCAAAGATGCAGACCAGAATCACCTGGGGAACAGTTCTCAAATCCACATGTGTATGCCCCAGTTTGGTAGGTCTGGGGGTGAGCCCTGGTAAACAAGGTCTCAAACACTCCAGAGTGTGTTATTCAGCAAGACACTCATGGTTACTGAGTGTGGAACCGTCACACAAGGCCGTGGTGTCAGCACTCCTCATGTGGGGAGTGACTCCAGACCTGGACACTGGAGAAAGCCCAGGGAGAGAGCTGGGAGTGGCTTACCAATATGTGCTCACAGTCTCCTACAGAAAAAGCTCTTTTTAGGAGCTAGAGATATAGCTCAGTGGCACAGCACCTGCTTGGCAAGCATGATATCGTGAGTTCAATTCCCGGTACAAAAAAAGAAGAAAGAAAAAAAGAAAAAAGCTTTGTATAAATATGACAAGGGCAGGCAGTGCTTCAGTGGCTGGAGCCAAGCGAGCCTGGACTTGAACCCCGCATTTCTCCTCCTACTGCACTGCAGTCTTTGCACTTTCCTTGTCACTAAATCAGGCTGTCTTACCTTATGTGGTTTCTGGTGTGTGTGTGTGTGTGTGTGTGTGTGATGATGCAATCTAGAGCTGGGCACACGGCCTGGCATATGGCAAAGTGCTCAGGGAATGGCAGACAGGGTCAGGACAGTGAGGACACAGAGATCATTCCTTAGGACTGGCCAGGTAACTGACACCATAGATCAAAGTGATGATGACAACCATGGGCAATGGAAATAATTAACGCATTCCTGCTAACTTGAACCACTGATGGTGTACACATGACTGCCCATCAGTGAGTGGCTCATAACACTGGTAGCTCAGGCTATGGCTCTGAGACATACAAATTACAGCGCCGTCATGAGCATGTTAAAGGATAAACAGCAAATTCGTTATACAGCATAGTTTGGATGATGAATGCTTCCCAAAGACCCACGTACTAAAGGCCTGGTCCCCAGCCTCTGGAAATCCTGGGAGGTAGAAAACCTTTAGAAGGTGGAGCCCAGGGAAAGGAAGTTGGGTCACTGGAGGTATGCTCTTGAAGGAGATATAGGGACCCCAGCCCCTTCTTGTCTTTCTTTGCTACCCAGCCTTCATGAAATGAATGGCCTCCTCTACTATTATGTGCTGCCAATGGGTCAATGGACCACACACTGAAACCTCCAAAATTGTGAGTCAAAATAAGCCTTTCTTCTTTTTAAAATGAATACCTCAGGTGTTTACCATAGCAATAGAAAGGTAACACACACAGATGTGGAATATATTTATGTACCATTTTACAAATGTATTTGCTCTTTTAACCTTACAATAACCTTGTGAGAGAGCTACTATTGATAGCTCCACTTTATAAATAAAGAAAGTAGCAGGCATCGTGGCACACACCTCTAATCAGAGGATTGCCTCAAGTTTGAGGACAGTCTGTGCTACATAGAGAGACCCTGTGTTAACAAGAAAGAAGCTGGGTATGATGGCACATGTCTGTAATTCCATCAGAAGGTTAGGACAGGGGCTGGGGATTTAGCTCAGCGGCATAAGCACCTGCCTTGCAAGCAGGTGGTCATGAGTTCGATCCCTGGTACCGATAAAAATGAAAAAGACCAAAAAAAAAAAAAAAAAAAAAGAAGGTTAGGACAGGAGGACTGGAACAAATTCAGGCCAACCTACGTTACATAGTGAGTTCAAGGCCAGCCTGAACTACATAGCAAGACCCTGTCTCAAAATGAGAGAGAGAGAGAGAGAGAGAGAGAGAGAGAGAGAGAGAGAGAGAGAGAAACTGAGACACAGGGAGACGGCATAGCACATACAGCCAACAGGACAGGGAGCAATGATCTAGGCTGCCAACCTGGGCAGATGCTAAGGTTGTGCACATCTAATTATGCATACTTCCTATGCACATGTTGCATATACTGCTGCCCAGTTCCAGGTTCCATCCTCATGTTATTCATCTACTTCCCTGACTGATGCCCTGGAGTTCTAGGTCTTAGAAGACTCCACTGAGTATTACCTCCTCTAAGAAGGCTTCGCAGCTGGTAGCCCCAGGGCTGGTTGGTGACAACTGGATGGGTTACCCTGTCTCTGTAGCTATATATAGCCCCTCTATCTCTCTCCGTGTTTTTCTCTCAGCATCCTCTCTCCCCCTCTCTTACAGTCCTTGTCATGCTGTGTTATGATTATGTTTACATGCCTGTGTTCCTCATCAGATTGTGAGGGCTTCTGGGACTTCATTCATTTATTCACTTACTTAACAAATATTTATCAAGACCCAATTATGTGCATTCCATGCTTGGTGCTGGGGATAAAATGGTGAGCAAAACAGATGGAATGCCTGCCCTCATGGAGCTCACAGACTAGAGAGTTGCAGGGCAACACAGACACTTAACAGAATATCACACAGATGAGCCTCAGTGTGAGACTGTGTACTGTGTTTGTTTGTTTGTTTGTTTTTGTATTTTTTGTATTTTTACCGGTACCAGGGATCGAACTCACGACCACATGCTTGCAAGGCAGGCAGTTATGCCACTGAGCTAAATCCCCAGCCCCAAGACTGTGTACTGTGAAATCATGTAACAGAGGGAAGAGATCAGGAAAATGAAATTTAAATCAAGATCTAGTGAATGACGGGAATCACTTGGAGAAAGAGATGGGCCAGGGAAAAGAGATGGCCAGAGAAACAGATCGGCCAGGGAAATAGACGGCCAAAAGCCCCTCAGCAAGGGCTGCGAATTATTGGACAGGGTTACCCTACCAGGAGCCCAACTTTTGAGTTTTTCGAAAGAAAATTAGGGAAGAAATTTAGACAATCACCTAACAGAAGAAACACACACATAAATCCCTCAAGAATTACTCAAAGCACATGAATAGCAGGGAAAAGGGTGACCACGTATTCTTCAAAGTGCTGAGAAAACCGCTTACCAGACTTGGTGGACTTTGGAAGGAGATTTCAGGGTTTCTGGACCTCCAGCCCTCAAGTCATATAGGTATTTGAGCAATGCCCTGTGTATCCCCCAACTAGTGGGTCTCTTTCATGCCGCCCTGAGCTATGAGGCATACTTCTCTTCCTGCAAGCTTCCCAGCCTGAAGCCAGTCCCTCCGGGAAGCAGCTGTACCTGCCTTGCTCTCTGTGCCCACGGCATTGAGTACAGGCCTCAGTGACAGGCCCAGCCAGTGTTTGCTGGTCAGCTTCCATGGGGGCCTGGCACATTCACCCTGCCATCCTAGGAGGCTACCCCTCTCCCTGCAGAAGCCAAATGAGCTGAATTAACAAGCAAATGAGCGGCATCTGAGAGGAATGCGAGGAAGAAAAGAATCCAGGAAAGTATGAAGAAAAGAGGCCAGGCCGAGCCTAGTATAAAGATGGGTCAGAGAAGACTACCCAACTCCAGAGTCATTTGTGCTGTCACCAGAGGAGCATCTTTCTGGGGACTGAACTGGAAGCTCAGATCTAGTCCTGGTTCTTGTCCTCACTCTGCTCTACCTCAAGAAGCAGCAGCTCCTCCCTTGGCTCTTTAGGCCCCAAACCTTATAGTTATTCTGACTCTGCTGACATCCTACATCAGCAGATTCCACAGTTGCCACCTTCTGAACCTTGCCAGCAGGCAATGACATCTCTCTCCCTCCTTCCCCCACCACTATCTTGGACAAGCCCACCATCACCTCATACCAGGACAGTTGATGTAACAATCCGCTGCTTTGGCTGCTCTTGGCCAGCCAGCAGCCAGGCCATTCTGAACACAGTGGACAGTGATCATTTAATGTCAGAGCATGCCACTATCTTGCTCTGGTCCTCTGTACCTTCCTCTCTCCTCAAGTTGAAGCTACAGTTACCTTGGTGCCCACGAGGCTATAACTGTTTGTGTCTAGATATTCCCCCAACACCTCACGCAGTCATAGTATTTTTTCAGAGGTGCCTGAATCTAGAGCGTGTGACTGATTCATACAGCAGTGTTGCGATTAAGAGTGGGTGATTGCTGGATCAGTCACCTGATTGGATTGGTACCACCATAATACTGGAAGACTGGACATAATATAAGGCACAGAAGGAGGTCTGTCTCATTCTTTTGGTTGCTTTTGCTGTCTTCTACTGCCATGAACTGTTCCCTCTGCCATGTGCCACCCTGCCTTGGAGCCAATTGATTAGGGACTGAAACCTCTACAAACTGTAAGCTAAATAAACCTTTCCTTCTTGAACTTTGGGTGTTGGATATCTTGTCTTAGCAACAAGAACAGTAACTAAGCAACCCTGTATTTCCAGATCCCCGCCACATCTCTGACCTTATCTCCAGGTACCTTTATCTCTTGTCACTCTACTTTGGGACCCTGGGCACCAAACATACCAATACCCTCTGTCCCAGGACTTCCCAGCTTGCTGTTTCTTCCACCTGGACAGTTCTTATTTTGAACAGTCTTCACTCTTCACTTCTTCAAGTCTTTGTTCAAGGTCACCTTCTTTAAGAGATTTTCCTTTACTACTCTGTTTAAAATTGCTAATTCCCAACCTTCTGTCTCACTGCTCCCTCCACAGAAAAACTGTCCCTATCTGACCAGCTTATTGTTTTAATTATCTAGTTCACAGTTTGCCTCCCTAACCTGGACTGGCATCTCTCAGAAGGAAGGGCATCTGCCTTGCTCCATACACACAACAGGGCCTGCAACAAGGCAGTCACTTCATATCCATCAAGGCCAGCGTGTGGCCATGTCTGAGCCTCAGCTGTTTTCTTTATTACTCGGGGGTTTAACAGGGCACAGTGACAGTAAACACAGTGTTTATACAGACCAGTTCCAAAGAAATATGTATACAGTAAAGCTATCATGTAGAAAAAGACACAGTAAATGATGACCATAATAACAGATCGATGGGCCAGAATTGCAAGAGGCCATAAGCTAAAAAATGAACGAACAGTTGTGCTGTGCTACGTGTCCCTTTCTCGCTCCCCAACTCGTGTGACTTGGTCCTCTCTCCATGAGCACTGTAGTATCCTACTCCTGGGGCTCTTGTCCAACAAACCAGGTGAATGTCTATGAAGGGAAGGTAGGGGCCAGGGAGAAAAAGTGGGAAGAGGTGACAATTTGGCTGTAGAAATGAATGGCCACTGGGAGCCAGGTAACCAATTAGCCTCCACCTGGGATTCAAGGCAGGTAGTTAACAAGAGATTGTCACTGCTTCAACTCAAGACTGCTATTGGGGGAAAGAGAAAGATAGGAAGAAAACAAATCATCAAGAGTGCCAGCTGGGGCCAGGGATTTAGCTCAGTAGGCATAAGCGCCTGCCTGGCAAGCACAAGGTCATGAGTTTGAACCCCAGTACCAAAAAAAGAGTGCCAGTTTATTAAATGTTACAGTGAATAAATTAAAAAGAAAACAAAACAAACCTGCCACCCTTGAGTCCTGACAGGTTCTGAGTAGACCCCAAGAGCCAAGAGAGCTCCCCAAGAGCAGCGTGGTATGGTTTGTTTTGTTTTGTTTTTTTATCGGTACCAGGGATTGAACTCACGACCGTGCGCTTGTAAGGCAGGCGCTTATGCTACTGAGCTAAATCCCCAGCCCAGCAGTGTGGTATGGAACATACCCTTCCTCTGTCTCATTGATGATGTCGCAGATCTCCATGTTCAGTGTCCAGTCTTCACTCTGCAAGGAGCCATCTGTTGCCTTTTCTGTAAAATCAGAGAGAAAAACTGGTTTGTATTTCTCCTGGAACAAGGGACCTTGGCAAGACATGAGAAATGACCAGAACCTCTACCTTCTCTGCCCAAACAGATGGGCTGAGCCAACAGAGCTGATCTGGGGATGCTATTTTCACAAGACAATACTTAAGGAAGAACTATGCACTGACATCATAGAATGGGCTGTCGTTTTCCAGTGCCAAACAGGAAAGCTCATCATATGCCTGAGCCATCACAGTCATCCAACATGTAAAAGCCCACAGACTATGGACCAAACCATCTAGGTCTGAATCAGGCTCAACCACTTACTAGTTGTGTGGCCTTGGGAAAATTACTTAACTTTAGTAATATAGTACCTTTAGGTGCCAAACTGAGTGAAATATACAGTAGCTACCCCAATAGCATTGTAAGGAACATTAAATGGATTAATATATAAAACATTCAAAATATAGCCTAATATTCAGGTGGTCCTCTGAAGGTATTTGCTGCTATAATTGCTAAAACTCAACTTTAGGCAGGGGTGGCAGCGTAATACCAGCTACTCAGGAGGCTGAGGCAGATGGACTACAAATTTACAAGTTGGCCAACCTGGACAACTTAGTGAGACCCTGTCTCAAAAAAAAAAAAAAAAAAAGTAAGTTTGGTGCAGGTATTGCCAGCCTATAATCCCAGCACTGGGGAGGCTGAAGCAGGAGGACTGCTGTGAGTTCAAGACCAGACTGGGCTACACAATTAGTTCAAGGCCAGCCTGAATTACACAGTGAGACCCTGTCTCAAGGAAAAAAATTAAAACAAAACAATCGTACTGTTTGGGCTGGGGATATAGCTCAGTAGCATAGCACCTTCCTGGAAAGTACACAGTCCTGAGCTTGATTCCCAGTACCTATCCCTTAAAAAAAAGAAAACAGGGGCTGGGGATTTAGCTCAGCGGCATAAGTGCCTGCCTTGCAAGCAGGCAGTCATGAGTTCGATCCCTGGTACCGATAAAAAGGAAAAAGACAAAAAAAAAAAAAAAAAGAAAACAAAAACAACTTCTTTAAAGAAGCTGGGGATATATCTCAGTGGTAATGTACCCCTTGGTTCAATCTCCCATATAAAAAAAATCAACTGCAATAGCTAAAAACATCTCAGAAAAGAGGAGGAAGAGGAAGCTTCATTTCATAGCAGGCAAGAATTCTATCGCTAAACCACCAATGATGCTGTTATGGGAGAAGCATCATTTAGCAAACAACTCCAGTATGGTATTCTGATTTGGCTCTTAAATGTCACCCAAATTTTTAGTTACCAGCCTGTGGTGCTACTGGGAGATGGTGAAGGCTTTAGAGGTGGAGCCTCATGGGCAGAAGTGAGATTACCAGGAGCAAATCTGTACAGTGGGTATTGGAGCCTTGACCTCCCTTCCTTTGCTTTCTGGTAGCAATGAGGAAAGCAGCTTTGCTCTATCTCATGCTTCCCACCAATGGAGTCAACTGGCCATGAACTAAAGCCTATGTAACCATGAGCCAAAAATAAACTTTCCTCTTATAAGCTGTTTATCTCAGGTATATGTCACAGTGACAGAGAGCTAACACAATGGTGTTGCATGCGTTATGAACACTGTTTTATTTCATTCACAAAACAATCTTCTGACCATTCAATGGGGAAAGGACAATTCTTTCAACAAACTGTGCTGAAAAAAATTGGCTCACTACATGCAAAAAAATGAAGTTGGACCCTTACCTTACACCATGTACAAAAACTAACTCCAAAAGACATAAACTTAAAAGAAAAAACTATAAAACTCTTACAAAAAAACTTAGGGAGAAAACTTCATGGCATTGGACCTGGCAATGATTTCATGGATATAACACCAAAGGCACAGAACACAAAAAACAGAGACTGAACTACATCTAAATTAAAAAATTTCTGCACATTAAAGGACTCAAATAGCAGAGTGAAAATATAATCTACAAAATGGAGAAAATCTTTCAAATCATATATATGGTAAAAAGCAAATATTCAAAATAATACAGAACACTCCCAACAACAAAAAGCTACCTAATTAAAAAAATGGGGAAAGGATCTGAACAGACATTACTTTAAAAATGAAATAAAATGGCCAATAAATATAGGAGAGAGATTTCATTATCATTAAACATCAGGAAAATGCAAACCAAACACAATGAGATACTATCCCATATTCACTGAAAAAAAAACACACAAAACAAATGTTAGCTGAACATGGTAGCATGTGTCACACTGTCTTCCATCACTCTGGAAGGCTGAGGCAGGAGGATCACAAATTCAAGCTTAGTTTAGATAATTTAGTGATTTAGTGGACCCTGTCTCAAAATAAAAAATAAAATAAAAAAGGCAATGGATATAATTCAGTGTGAAGGTCCTGGGTCCAATCCTCAGCAACATAAACAATAAATGATAGTGAAGATTTGAAGACCGAGAATCTTTCTGCATTGTTGCTGGGAATGTAAAAAAAAAAAAAAAAAAAAAAAAGCAGTATGGAAAATAGTATAATGGGCTCTCAAAAAATTAAAGTTACCAGAACATTTAGCAATTTCATGTTTGAGTATATATGCAAAGGGTTAAAAATCAGGGTCTCAAGCTATCCACATATCCATTATCACAGTGTGGTTATCACATTTATTTCCTTTGCAACAACTTGGTACCAGAGCACAAGTATCAGAATGCCTAGGCTGGGTTGTGCTCTATTACAGCCTGGCCTGGACTGTCTTGTGACTGCCTGCCGGTCTGCCTTATCCATTACACAGACTCCCGGAAGTAAATTCTCAATCTCTTCTTAGCTCTGAGGATGCTGAATGGGCATCTATCACATGCACCTATCAATCAAGTCACTGGCATTGGCACTATGTGGTTTTACTTTGCCTTGAAGTTGTAGAAACAGCTGCCTCAAAGTACTCTGGGTGGGGTGGGGAGGGTGGGGGGGTGGTATTCAAATGGTACTTATTCAAATGGTACTTCACGTTCCTTCTTCCAGCCCTGTTATCTTCCTTTAAAGGGAGATGAGGAAGGATGGGGAACAGTTATAGAAAAGAATGTCCTATAAAGCAAGGATAAGAAATTCATTTTCATCTCTCCAGTGGAAAGGGGGAGTATCTGCAATTAACATTCATAAAGCATGTTAGGAATCTGAAGCAAGAGGCAGTAATGGTTCTGTGTAGAATGATAGAATTGATTTTTCTTTCCACCTTTTTCTTTGTAGAAGCCAACTGTGCCTCACTAGCAGGTAAAAGTCCAGAAGGTTCATTTCATATTATTAGGTATATTCTCCTATGCACTTCCTACTCATCAAAACCCTTTTCCTTTTTCTACACCTGGCATGCAGCACCCCAGAATGCCATACTTTTGTGTAGGTACCTCTGGGCCCCACCCATACCTGACGTTAGGGAGGTATTTAAGTGCATTGTTTTTTATCTCCACTGTTATGGTTTGTGTTTAAGTGTCCCCCTCCAAAAGACTCATGTGGTCACAGGTGTGGCTCTTCCAGAAGTGGCTAGATCTAGAATATGTAATGCTGGAATTAATTCATGTGCAATGCTAGGATCAAGGGCACAATAAGATTAAGGATGTGAGCACTATTCTCCCTAAGTAGCCTGGATTAGCTAAAAAGCAGGAAAAGAAGTTGTTACGGTCTCTTGCTTGCTTGATTTTGCTGTTTTTTGCTTGCAATGAACTGGTTTTCCTCTGTAATGCTCCTCTGCCTTGCCACCCTGCCTCGGAGTCCGCTGATTACAGACTGAAACCTCTACAAACTATGAGCTAAATAAACCTTTCCCTCTCTAACTTTAGGTGTCAGGTATTTTGTCTTATAAACAATAAAAGTAACTAAGACATCCACTCTCACTAAAAAGATATTCCTGAATACAAAATGCCCTATTTTGCTTTCTGGTGTTGGCTACTTCTGAAGTCACTATATTTAACATCGAAGTGTTAAAAGCAGCAGCTAAGAAACCAAGCCACTGGATTGTGAAGCTCCTCTGAGCAGGACTGCCTTAGGTTTCAGATTGTATGGAATGGGTGGCTAGGCAGCAAAAATATGCTGGGGAGAACACTACAAAACTGTACTATCACTGCTGTCAATCAAGGCTTCAGTCATTCTCACCCTTGTCCTATACCAGGCAGGAGGTGGCCTTTTCTGGATGGAGAAAATGCCACGACAACAGCATTAGGATGATATGCTACTCCCGCACTGAAGGTTTAAGGGTGCTGTATCTGAGCACCCCAGCCCAGTTCTGGTTGTTAGCACATCACCAAAGGGCTCAGCATTTTGCAACCAGGGTCATGGATGTCTTCGTCTTTACCCATCCCAGAGAACTAGCTGTTGGGAATGACTTGGTCTGTGAAATACTGTGTTTCTGCTATTGTACCAGGTTTTATTGAAGAATTTGACAATTTATGTGATAAACGAAATGAGACTGAACTTCACTTTCCTCTGGCCTGGGGACCTGAGCATGTGAGGGAGCTCCCAGTGAGTGACCTCAGTTCCAATCAGACACAACTTTGTTCCCATTTGCTGGAAATTCTTTTATGAAGAGAAAAATAAGAATTGATTTGAGCTGCTCTGCCAGCCTTTCTTCCCTCATCTATCTCAGCACAGCCCAATATCCACAGTTCTGTTTGTGTGGCATTCTAGCAAAATGAAAAGAAAGAAGTGTTCTTTTTGGGTTGATTCCTTATAATCAAAATGAATATATATCTTCTAGTTTGAAAACTCAGAACCCCAGTAATTGAATAGAACATACTGACCCTGAGGATAAGTTATCATGCCTTTGAACCCCTTGCTGGTATTATTAGAGGAAGGGAGAGGGTGAATATAAGGTTAATGGATTCTGCTGCTAAACTGAACTTGGAAATGAGGTTTCATTGATTTAATATTTCCTCTATTAAGCCTCCCAAGACTGTGTCCCTTGGGGTCCTACCAAAGAGCAATCTCAGTATGTCACAGCCTGAATTCTGTGAAGGGGATGATAACTAGC